CAGTTCCTTGTCTGCTAGGTAAGCAATTGTGAAAGAATATTTTAATCATTTTTCCAGTGTGTGCCCAAGGTGATGTGCATAAGCACACAATGAAAACCTGGGCAAAATAATCAATAATCTTACTTCAAAGAACAATAAAACTGTGTGTCACAATTTATTTATTTGTGTCAGGAAGCAAAAGAAATTCAATTCTAAAATGCCTCTGAAAACAAACAAACAAAGCCTTTTACTAACCCCTGGGAGACATATAGAAGTCCACACCTTACATTTAAAGCACTATGATGCCACTTTCAATGTTATGGCTTCTCCCAAAGAAGCCTGGGAACTGTAGTTTGTTACAGGTGTTCGGTAGGTTTAGCTCCATGAGGGGTTTCCTAACAACCATGCATTTGATGTGTTTGCTACTCTGAGATCCTTTGGGAGGAAGGGCATGATATAATTTTACTAAATGAATAAGAATAAGAATAAAAACACAATGGAGTTTTGATCTCCTTTCTCGGTTTAGGTCTATTGGTTTGGTTTGGGTTCTAAGCTCCAGAGCAGGAGAAAACAAGCTTGCTCCTTCCTCCATACAGAATCTTATCTCCTCTCAGTCTCCTCTTTACTAGGCTAGACATACCCAGTTCCCTCAACTGTTTCTCATAAGGCTTGGTTTCCAGACCCTTGATGATCTTGGTCGCCCTCCTCTGCACACGTCCCAGCTTGTCAATATGCTTCTTAAATTGTGGTTCCCAGAACTAAACACAGTCCTCCAGGTGTGGTCTGACCAAGGCAGAATAGAGCCAGTATTATGACTTCCCTTCATCAGGACACTATACTTCTGTTGATGCAGTCTAGAATAGCATTAGCATTTTTTGCTGCTACATCACATTGTTGACTTATGCTAAGCTTGTGGTCTACTAAGACCCCTAGATCCTTTCCACATGTACTGATTATTTCTACCTAAGTGTAGAACCTTTTGTTTGTCCCTATTGAAATTCATTTTGTTAGTTTGGGCCCAATTCTCCAATCTGTTAAGGTCATCTTGAGTCCCAGTTCTGCCTTCAGCGGCATTGACTTGCCCTCCTAGTTTGGTGTCATCTGCAAATTTGATCAGCATCCTCTCAATACCTTCAACCAAGTCATTTATAAAAATGTTGAATATCAGGTCCAGGACAGAACCCTGCAGCACCCCCACTTACCACTTTTTTCTAGGGTGAGGAGGAACTGTACTTGAGTATTCTTTGGGCTGAGTCAGTCAACCAGCTATAAATCTACCTAACAGTTACCTTGTCCAGCCCAGCTTCCTTGTAAGAATATCATGGGGGTCTTTGTCAAAAGCCTTCCTGAAATCAAGATGCACTATGTCTACAGGATTCCCCTGACCTACCAAGCTTGTCATTATGAAAAAGGGAAATGAGAGTCATCTGGCATGACTTGTTTTTTAGAAACCCATGCTGGGTCTTAGTAAGCAAAGCATCCTTTTCTACGTGCTCACAGACCGACCGTTTAATTATCTGTTCTAGGACCTTTCCTTGTATCGAATATCAAACCAATATTTGATATGACCAAATATCACAGGAGTTGTGAGCAATCATAACAGCCACAGTGATGCAAGGAAGGCATTCATGGTATTCCTGGCCTATCAATGATGGACTCTATGCTATATCTGTAGTATTGTTACTTGCAGGAGTAACAGCAATCTCAAGCTGCATTGAAAAAAATTATGAGCCCTCTCTTGATTACAGCCCAAGGGGTGGGCTTGATACAAGCCACAGGAAACAAGTTGCAACACAAACAATCTACCCTGACTCATTCTGATAACAAGGTGTTTGATTGAAACTCTTACTTGCCTCTAGTCTAGAGTAACATTTAAACAGTAGATTTCAAACCACATTATCAATAGCCAGCATGAAAGCAGTGCCCGTTAAAAATGATTTTCTGCAGACTTATGGGGGAAAGGTGGAGTTTCCCTGTAGGTCTGTGCCGTCTGTTTAGTTGCATGTGAAACGGACAATGTAGCAGAAGTTGCCTGTTTTTAATTTTTCTTTTTCTCCATGGGCTGTGATGTTTTATTGAAGACTCATACAAAAGGAAAGGGGGGGGAATTAAAACCAGACAGCTCTGACTTCATTGTAAATTTCATATGCAGTCCAGCAGGCCGTAACAAATAGTGTCCACCCCTCCCCCCTCCTGCCTCATCAGCTCTTTGGCTATAGCTTGGGGATTGCATAAAATCACAAATAACATGTGCCATGTGAGTATCCTCACTGATTTTAAAAGACGGAAAATGGTGTCGAAATAAAAAATAAATCTTTCATTATGTAATAGTATTGCATAGTGAATTTAGCAAGATTTAAAAGATGCAGTGGATGGAAAGCTGCCATTATTCCTTTTTCAAATCCTAATTCGGACATCACAAAAAGAGAAAGGGGTGGGGTGGGGGAGCTGACATAGTACCAGCAGGAGAGATCATTTTGCATATGGAAAGTAACAGACGTGTACAGCGCAGGAAGAGAAACATACCCCAGGCAGGAAGAAGGGAGTCATTCTATCACCAATATAGTTTTATTCTTAAAGACACCACTAACCCAATGTGCACAGGAGTTAGCACACAAGCAATTAGTCATATTTATGTTCTTATTTAATGAGAACTAAGGCTGCAATACTAGTTTCACTCACTAGGGATTAAATTCCATTGATCACACTTAGGTATTTAGGATTGTGCTGTGTGGTTGCAATCTGACAGATACATACAGAACTCACAGGGAGTCTTGTTTTTGAATGAACATGCAGAGAACTGAATAAGAGCAAATGTCATCAAAAGGTTTACAAAGTGCAGTAGGTATAAAAACTGCAGGTGACTGCAAATATCTGGTGAATAGAATGTATTCCATTGGTAATAATTATTATCTAATAAGGGCTCTGGGAAGGATAGTGACCAACGTCCTGAAAAAAATTAGGAATAGTGACAACCCACTGCTGTGACCTGGTGAGGGGGAAGTGCCTTTCTGTCCCTTGAAAAGCTAATAGAGCTGAAGGAGGAAGTTGAACAAATGACACTCTTTCACACTTCATCGTTCAGCTCTATGGGCTTTTCAAGGCTAAGATGATTAATTCTACTTGAATTGAAGACTGCAGGCACACCATACATTTAAAGCACATTACTTCCCCCAACAAATCCTGGGAACTGTAGTTTGTTAAGGGTACTGGGACTCAAACCTCTTTGAGCGATAAACTACAGGTCTCAGGATTCTTTGGGGAAAACAGTGAGCTTAAAATCTATTGTGCATATGTATGCACTTTCTGTCTCTCCAGAGGAAGGGTGGTGCCCACAGCACTCGCTCAAAAATCTAATTGCGCCCAAGGACCTAAAAAGTTTGGCGACTTCTGTAGAAATCAACCTGAAATGCCACTTAAAGGGAGAGTGCAAGTTGTTGAGCCATCAGATGGCTGTTCCTGCCTCTGTCCCCCCTCACCCTCTTTTAATTCTCTGAGCAACCCAGGAGGGAGAACTGGACCCAGCTGTTCTGCTTAGAGAAACCATTAGAGAAAGAGAAGGCAGCAGCTGCTCCTCACAGGAGCTGCCATTTTATTTTCTCTCTTCCTCCCCCTTTTTTTGCAAAAAGAACTGGAGACGACCAGCAAATCCAGTCCACCCAATTGCACCATGCAGAGAATGGGGGGACGGGGACCAAGACTGCCGAGAGAGAGAGAGAGAGAGAGAAGAAAGGTGAGCAATTGTGTGGAGGCTGTTCTGGTTCACCTTCACTTCCTCTTCAGTGGCAGGGAGGACTCAGTAACTGATGGTTGCACAAACCAGGATCACTTATATGTCCATCATCTCTCGAAGGCCCTCTCTGTTCAGAAGGATCTATACTTACTGACCTATCCTTGCTCTTGGGGCGATGCAGCATGGAGGATTGGGGCCCAGCAGGACTGTCTAGGCAGGTTCTTCAACCTCTGTTCCCCATTTGTTGCAGGGCCACAACTCCCACCATCCCTGACCACTGTGAAACTGACTAGGGGTTGCTGTGCACCTAGGAAGAGGTGTCTGCAGCTGCTGCCACATCTGCCTCCTTGACCTCTGGATGGTGCCCAGAAACAGAGGTGGATGAGCAGACAGACAGAAGCTATAGCCAGTCAGCAAGCCAAGTTCTCCAGACCATACCATACCTGCCTATCTGCCACTTCTGGTAGTGAGGAAGATCGGGCCAACGAAGGGGCTTGGGGTGGGGAGGGGAAGGAGGCCCCCTGCCTCTGTTGGTTACTGAACCCGAGCCCTCACCCCCCCCACCTTCCTAGCCCAACGCCAATCTTCAAATCACACATTACAGCAGCCACAAGAGATTTACATGGGAGCAGAGCTGGACCATAAAGAAGGCTGATCCCCGAAGAACTGATGCTTTTGAATTATGGTGCTGGAGGAGACTCTTGAGAGTCCCATGGACTGCAAGAAGATCAGACCTATCCATTCTTAAGAAAATCAGCCCTGGAAGGACAGATCGTGAAGCTGAGGCTCCAATACTTTGGCCACCTCATGAGAAGAGAAGACTCCCTGGAAAAAACCCTGATGTTGGGAAAGATGGAGGGCACAAGGAGAAGGTGACGACAGAGGATGAGATGGTTGGACAGTGTTCTCGAAGCTACTAGCATGAGTTTGACCAAACGGTGGAAGGCAGTGGAAGACAGGAGTGCCTGCCATGCTCTGGTCCATGGGGTCACGAAGAGTCGGACACGACTAAACGACTAAACAACAACAACAAAGTCCCACTGAAGTCAACGGGAATGGCTCCCAAATAGACACGTGAGGGATGGCGCAGGTATGATTTGCACCACACCTAACCTCCCTCACCTCACCCCACCCACTCCTTTCACTTTGTCCTCCTGCTTAAAACTGGCCCCTCCCTCCTCCCCCGCCGCCTCACTTTGCTCTCGCCTCTCGTGGCAAGCAGCAGCAGCAGCAGCCATTCAGCCCCTCCCCCGCTTCGCGTTTCCTCGTTTTGTCCCTCGCGGCGCCCCGTCTCCGCAGCAGCTGTTCGCACCAACATGGCGGCGGTGCTGCTTCTGCAGGAGCTCTCAATGTCAGCGGCTGCGGCGGCGAGGCACTTGGCGCGCGGGGCAGGAAAAGAAGCGGCAGCCGTTGCCTCCACTGGCGGCTTCGGGCCCAGGTATATATATATTTGTCTATATAAGGGAAGCGGGCGCGTTGGCGGGTAGATAGGGGAAGCGGGAGGGCCGTGGCCCCTCATCCTCCACTGCCCACCAGCCCAGGAATGGGATTGGAGGTGGGACGGGATATGGGATGTGTATGTGTCTCGTTGTCCAGGTGTCGTCGTAGAGAAAGGGCGTGGATTAAGGCCACGAGCCAGGGTGTGTGTGTGTACACATATACACGTGTTTATATGCGACAGACTTAACTGGGACGCCCCTAACCCAGCTTTGCCTTTCCCCCCTCTAGATGCCCCTGGGAGTCTACTCGTGAGGGGGAAGCAGCTCTTCGCCTACCCCCAACTCTTAAGGGTTTCGATTCTTTTATCTGGCCTCCACTATGCGCAGTTCACTGTGCGTCCAGCTGTAAACGGGGAAGAGAATTAGCTCTCCTTTCAGATAGAAAACAACAACAAAGATTGGCCAAGGGGCACCTGAACAAACAGGTTTATTGTATGTTTTCTCTTGGCGACCTCAGCTGCGTGAAGCGTAGTGTTTGGTTGTCAGGTGCAGTCACTTGGCGCAAGGTGATAATTGCAAGCAGCCGGGCATGGTGAAGGCCGTGAAATGTAAAAGGAAGCAGTAGGTAGGCCTGTGCCTTTTTCCGTGCGGAAAGGCAGTATATACAATACAGTACAAGATAAGAACGTGCCCTTTGCAACAGCGGTCACTGTGATGATAGTCCTTCCGGTTTGTGTTAATGTTGATTTGACTTCTGTATGGGAAAGAAGCCCATCGTTTCAGAAGCCTGGTTTTTCCATTCTTGTGATGCTGATGATTTCTTTATTAATGTTGATCTTCTGACTGAAGCTTACTTAAGATGTGCTTTTCTCAGAACTTCCACAGTTGCAAATCATGTTTCCCTCTTCCTTAAAAAAATGGTGTAAACTGTACAATATACATATGGAGATATTCTTGTTTTGCTTGTGGGTGAATAGGAAGCCCACTGTAGTAACTTCTGTTGTAAGTAAACTCTTCTATCTGTATGGCTTGAGAGAACATGAACATGAAGACATTAAAAAATGTTGGAATAAATATATTCAAAGCTATCTTTGTAAGGCACCTGATCTCTTTTCACGCACACATATTATTTACAGCATGGACAATGTCCTGTACTATAGCTGCTTCTGAATGACAAATTTCAACTGTTGAGAAACTCTTCGGGGACTGGGAAGCCCTGAATATTATTTTAGCGTGTGAATATGTGTATATGTACACCATATTTTGACCTTTCCTTTGCATCTTAACCAAAGTCTCCCTAACACATTCATTGCTGATTTAGTGGAGAAAATAAAAAGAGTATATTCATTTCATACTGTTTAGGTTTGATAGTTGCCTATGATTAGAACTTGCTACATTTGTAGCTAATTAGAGCTAAAGAAAGTTCACAGTTCAGACAAATTGAACTATACCATATGCTATCAACAACCAGTTTGAGGGAGAAGCGGAAGGGAGGAGCTACAGAGGTTTTCTTGGAACTTCTATGGAAGAAAAGTCTTACCTTTTGAATAGTCTTTCTCTGTTTATTTTTCTCCCTCTCTTCTCTGGGCTAAATTTGACCCATCTGATTGGTTATTGTGGTTTTTTTAAAAGTATACTCTTTTACCTGTGGGAGGAATAAAATACTGTACTCCCTAATGTCCTATAAGGGAAAATTGTCCTGATCTTTTGCAGAATCAAGCACATTCTTCTGCACTGATTTTAAGGCATGCCTTACCTTACTATAGGATTGGGCTATAAAGATTTTTCTAATCATCCCTAACCTGTCTCATCCATTATAGCTTTATTATCAGTTAGTACATATACCAGTGTTGGTTGGAAAAATTTGCACAGAAACACTGCTGAATAAATAGAAGATTTAGATTCCTATGCTGTTGTTTCTTAAACCAGAAAGAAGAAATGAATCTGCACTGGAGCAAAATATGAAAGAAATTTCCTTTTGGGGAAAAACCCAAACCCCTATACATGGATTCAATGAGACTTACTGCAAAATAAGTTTCCCAATAAATGTGTTTAATGTTGGAATGCAAGTAGTTTACAAGAGTCTTCTTAAATAAAGGCCTACTTGTCTCTGCCTACCTCTGTCCTTTTTTAATGAACTTCGCAGTTGTATGCAAATGTTTGTGTCATTGGGAATCAGGATCTGAGCAGTTACAACATTTTTATAGTCTGATGTTAGCATAGTTTAAAATGGCTACACTTCTGGACAAATGCTTTATGGGTTGTCTTCTGTATCTTAGATCTCATTGGTAATACATTTTTAAAAAGAATTCTATATTGAATATTGGAGCTTCAGTTCTTGGGTGGTCTTAAGCAGTGCTTTTTTCGGGGGGTGGGTGATGCAGGGGTATGCATACCCCTAAACATTCTGTGAATCTTTGTACTTTGGCCCTTTTACTGTATTTATTTTTCCCGATTTGAACTATAAAATGGTGCTTTTCTTGAGTCCAAATGAAAGTACCACTAAACATTTTTAAAGGAAAAAAACACTGGTCTTAAGTTATCCTAAAATGGGGACTTCTAGTAACAGCTTCTTTACATTGCATTCTTCTTCTTTTCAACCCATTGAGACAAACATTGATGTATTTAAGCGATCTCCTTGGACCCAAATATCCAATTAGTGCTACCTCAAGGCAGTAGATCGCCCCAAGTGGTACACAGCATCATCTGGAAAGTGTGTCCCAGTATTCCTTGCAATGTTATAAAAGGCACTTGATTGCGTGTGCCTGCACAATAAGTTATATTGTAAAGTTTCCTAAGATGTCCATCTCTGATTTCATGATGCTTCACTGTGCCCCTAAAAATACTGCCTCAAGCAATTGCTTGGGTTGCTTATGCAGTCTAGGATTTTAACTCGCTGAAAGAATGAACCCACTTTCACATTTCTTTGAATAGTGGAAAAATCAGACACTAACGATGTCTTAAGCCACCCTTAATTAGAGCCTACTACCAAATTTTGTAGGAGAATAAATCAAAAGCAATGCTGGTTTTTAAAATTCAGATTATATCACAGTTCTAATTACTGCCTGGTATACAACAAATTGAAATGCAAATATGATTTTTGTTGTGTTCAAATAATCGGTATCACTATATGTTCAATATTCATCTTGCATTTTAGAGAGGCATGACTTCCAATTGTTTGTCTCGCTTTTGACACCTATATTTTTCTGGCAGATAAACAGTCTTCTTTGAAAGATCTATTACTTAACCAGCCATTGTGTTTTTCAGGAATCTCAAGAATGTTATTCATTACAAAGCACATATTTGATTGTCAGTGTGAGAAACTTCCATTCTATTGGTAAGGTCATTCCCTATATCCAAAGAGAGCTGGCAATTTCAAGCAGTATTTGAACTTTGTTCTTCAATCAATATGATTGGTGGCAATACAGATTAACATCACATTTTTTTTCTAGACTAAATAAAATTCATTTAGTTTTAGATAAAGCAGAAAAATAAGTTCAGTGTTTTTTACATGATTCATAACATTGCTTATTATTGTACTTTAAAAATAAATAAATTACAAGCCCTTAGTCAATTTCTGAATGAAGAAGTTGCCTCTTATTACTTACAGGTGTTGTTTACCTCTTATTTCTCTGTTTAAAAAGATTTATTTTGTCTTTTAGTACTCCTACTAATAATGCTGGATGTCAATTGCATTTTTTGTATGGCATAACAGGATAAACTCTTTGAAGTCCGTGCTTCTGAAAGAATAATTCTCCATTCTGAAAATAAGATTATTTTGTGTACGTATATTACACAATACTTTGAGTCGATATATATCCTTCAACAGAACAGTCCTGTCCAGAGAGCAGATGAGTTGCAACAGCCCTGTGCACAGCTGATACTGCAAAACCTCAAATAAATATAGATAACTTGTTTTCTGTAGAGAACCATTTATTCAGACTCAAAACATCATGACCAAATGCAGCCCCCGGTTGTGTGTACACTTGTCAACTGACTGATTATTGGTTTCACCTAGAAATGCAGTGATATTCATAATTCATAATCTACTGTTTGTAGATTTGTAATTAGTGTGTATATATATTTTAAATGGATGTTTAAGGGTGTAGCATGTTCAAAGTACAGTGCTTTAAAATGCAAATTTAAGAGCAGGGAGCAAATTCATATCTGCACATGGCAAAGCGGAATAAGATGTGAGATGGTTTTACATAGGATAGTTACGGATGCAGTCCTGTGCATCCTTTTTGGGAGTATTTCAGTTGAAGTGATTGGGAAAGAATTGCACTGTAAAAAATAGAAGTATGTTGAGGAGATATATAATGGGGCAAGTGTGTCTGGTTTGTTTTCTTTTGTGACAAACATGGACTAGCCTGTGTGTGAATGATTTGTGTGAAGAGTTGCCATTGAATGTGTTAATTCTTCTTGACATTTATAGCCACTTCTTCTGAAGTGACCAGAAGGAAAATGGATGGCGGACCTGCCTTACTTGCTAAAATTCCCTCTAAAGCTCCCTTTATGAAGTTGTTGTGAAATTATGCACAACTATTAAAGGTGCCTCTTTTGCATCTGCTCACACTTGCTTCTTCCTATTTGTTATGCTGTTATACTTCACACAGATACACATAATTGGTTTGTTAAAAATATTTGAATAATAAGTTCGTAAGATAATATGGCTTATTAATGGCTTTGGTCTAAATTGTTAAGTAAATGATTAGTTAATATATGCTTTTTCAGAACTATTGCTAAGGCAGTTGGGGCCACCAAGCTAGTGACCATTGAAAGATGAAAGTGATAAAATCCCATATGGGTGATATCCAGTTGTGGCTTTTTGCTTGTTCCACTCATGAAAACAGGAATTTTCTTTTCTCTCCTCCTATTGCATGCCCCCCAGATCTGCTCCTGAGAATGGGGAGACACCCTGGGGGGTAGAAGGTGGTGGCAGGGGGCATGGAAAGAGAAGAGCTATTGCATACACAAATGTGATGTTATATTTTGCCCTTATAGTTGTACTGTGCCCTACGTTATTGTAAGTTTTCTTACTAAAGGCGCAAACTCCTTTGATCAGAAGTGAGCAAACTCGTTAACAATTAATAAGTGAATGAGGTCAGTGTTGATCGTTTTTCACAATATGACTTTTATTAATTACTAGGGGGAGATAACTAGTTGCACATATAAACAGCAGCCCTTGTACTAGCTATTTGAAACTGTTCCTTTGACTTTGGGGGACAACTGGCAGCACAGAAATGACTCTTGGGGTGTCTTTTGTAACAGGCTTACTCCAAGCATTAGTAGAAATCTACATTTCTAACGAAGGAGAGGGCCTTTTTCACAGTGGCACCATGTCTTTGGAATGCCCTTCCCAAAGAAACATGCCTGGTGCCAGTGTTACAGGTTTTTCAGTAGTACATGAATGCTGTCCTACTTGTGTAGACATTTTAGATAATTTCTGGATTTTATCTCCATTCAGTTCTTTTAGTTGTTGTTTTTTAAATTGTCACTTGTTTCATTGTGTTTTATTTGTTGATTGTAAACTGTATTTGTGCCGTGAATTAGTTTTATTCACACTTTTTTGTTTCATTCTGAGATGTCTTGTTGAAAGAAGGTTTAAGAAATAATTTAAGTAAAATAAATCAAAATTGGAGGAAGAGCATCTGCAACTTGGTGGCAAAGTACATGCTTTGTATGCAGAAAGTTCTAGCCCCAGTCCTTGACCACTCCGGTAGGACTGTGAAGCATTAGCATCTGAAACTGGGGAGCTACCAGTCAGTGTAGACACAACTAAGCTAGATTTGACTGTATAATTAGAATCATGGAGTTGGAGGAGACCACAAGGATCATCCAGTTACACCCCCTACAAATTTGGAATATGCAGCTGTTCCTTACAGGGATCAAACCTGCAACCTTGGCATTCATTAGCACCACACTAATTATTAATTATTAATTTTTTATTATTTATTTGATTTATATACTGTCCCTCATCAAAAGATCCCAGGGTGGTGTACAACATTTAGAACACATTAAGTAGCTTCTATATCATGATGTTCCATATAACTAAATTCAGTGTTGCTGTTTTTGGCAACTTATTTTACTTTCTGTATGTTAATAAACTTTCTATAAGGCTTATCTTCCGTAACTATGCCACTCATACACATTTTAAAGTTTGAAGATGATGTACCTGTCTTGTTATCTGGAAGGTGCTGCCCCCCCCGCCCCCTTAACTAATTTATAAAATTCAGAAGGAGTTTGGAAAAGTAGAATATCATAGCCTTTCCTGAACACAGAGGTGGGTTGTGGAACGTTAGCTGTTTCATTCCTCGCAGTTCTGGAATTAAACCCTTTGACTTTTGTACTACTTTGTGATAATAAAAGCACACTTGTTATTTACTGCGGCTTTTGGTACAATCTGAATATATTTGTGTGGGGAGACATTTGACATTTCAGAAAACACTGGCAGGGCAGAACTTAGGTCACCTGTGGTTTTTGCAAATTTGTAATCCTTCCTCCCCCAGTCGTCTCCCTGTTCCCACCAGCCACCCACAAATACAGAATTCCAGTACAGTACTAGTCAGGAGCTAAGGAGATGCTGCATGGGCATAATTACTGTTCTGTTAGATTTTGTATTCCTTCTTAAGCTGAAAAGTTGTTGTTGTTTTGCTGCAGCAGTTATTGGAACCAGCATCGTGGTCTACCTTGTCCGGCCTAGGCAGCAGTTCCTTGGCTAGTTATCAGTGGGTGACTCTTTCTTTCAGCAATTTTGTTATCAAATTACTCATTTTCTTAAGCAATTGTATGTATAAATAGCACTCTGATTGATCTAATTTGGCATCTGATGCTACGGAAGCGTGAAGAAATCACTTTTTTCACTTGGAGTTTGATAGCACCATTGGTTGTGATCAACATTGGGGGGCTTCAGTTGTATTTATCCATTTGTAACGCTCATATGAAATGCCTAGTAGTTGTTCATTTCCTAAATCATGTTTTTATTACCTAAAGGGTCATGAGTTCAATTTGAAAAGACAGGTGAACTTTCTGTAGTAATTGGCTTTGATACATGATACCAAGTAGCTGCCTGACCTTTGGCTAGTAATGTTAAAATTAGTTTTATTTTGGTTTTTATTCATGTACCAAATGAGTGGCATCTGTGTTTCCAAGACAATGTTGTTGCAGGAGACTGATATAGTGAAATCACCTGTCCTTGTCCGGACATAATGTCAGGTAACTTTTTTCTCCAAGTTGAGTTCCTCTATGTGTACTATCTATCCTTTTGAACATTTTCATTTCAGATCTGTGTTTCAAATTCTGTTTATCTACAATATCTTTAGTTTAGGGTACAAACACAATTATTTTTAGATATTTATAAATATAACATAGTAAAGGTCACTTGCCCTGTTTCCTGTGTTGAATAAAATTGTCTCTAGACAGGAAAAGTTATGCAACATAGAAAAGAGCTTGATTTTTCTATCTCTTTTTCCCTGTCAATATGTCACAAAATAAATATTTCATAGCACTTCCTAGGCATGTAGTGGCTTGTCTGCACAAATTTAACTGTGGAAAATTAATGCAATTAATTCTAGGAAAATTAGCAGGATTTAAAAACTGCCAGATAAGTAGTAAATGTGTATATTGTTATGGGGGGGGTGTTTGGTTTGTTCATTTTATGAGATGTATTTTGTGTTTTCATTTTATACTTTAATGGTGGAAGCGGCCCTGTGGTGTTAGGATCAAACAAACAAACAAAAGCAGTAGAGAAACGGACTGGTGTTCTTTGATTGAAATAAATTCCATACATTGTACAGTGTACCCCCACCCTCTCTGAATGTAACTTCTTTGAATGAAAATCCCACTGGATATTTCCAGGTCTTGAAGGTTTTGATTCAGCTGATAGCTATATTTATTTATGGAGAAACACACAGCATAATGTATTTAGCAGCAATCTTGGTTTCCTGGGTCTTGACAGCAGTCAGTCAACTCCTGTGGTCCTGATCAGCTGCAGCTAGAGGCGAACACCATCAATCACCTACAAAAACACTGCGGTCCAGGGACCACCAACCATCATCACTTCTGTCTTGTTTTTATTCAGAGTGTAAATCCATGAACTATGACTTTCACTCACTTGTTTAAAGTGGAAACTGCATCTCCTCAATTTGAAGAGCAGTAGTTTTGAGGGTACCCCATGCAGCGTTTGAAGGCTGAGCACCAGTCGAATTTTGCGATTGGCAGTCGGACTTTTGCGACTGGATGGAGATGTCCAGGGGCTGCCCTTGGCACCTTGCATCTCCACCTGCCTGGCTGCAGTCATCTGGTCTGCCGGGCACAGCGGCAGCAAAAGACACGCCTCTTTTTCTGCAGCACAACCCTTGGCAAACATCTAATTCGGCCAGCCGCGCAGCAGCAAAAGATGCACCATTTTTTACTGCCATGCTGCTGGAGGAATCAGATGTTTGGCAGGGTAGAGCGGTAGCAAAAGACGTCTCTTTTGCTGCTGTACTACCCTGCTGACCCCCTGATTCGCCTGGCAGCGTTTTTTTTCCTCCTTTTTATTTATTTTGCTGTGGGGCTGCCTGGTCTGATAGCAGAGCAGCAAAAAAAAGGTGCCTAGACATTTTGTCCTAAATCCCAGGAGCCACATGGCTCCTGGCATTCCTATCCCATTTTCTAACACTGATAATATTAACAGCCTTGCACAGATGTTATTGGCAAAGAATGGAACTTGAAGGCATGCTGAAGATTGGCTGTGCTTGCCTTTTGAGAATATTTGATCAAAAATGTAATAGAACCACGTCTAGCTTGCACAGATGGGCTGCATTCTCCCTGAAGCAGCAGGTGCATAGCGTGCGGGTAGTTCTAATCCTCACTTGTCACTCTCTTTAGATTTACAGATGGCCACAGTGGCAGGAATTGCCTTTTGGTAGCTTTGGCTAGTTAGCCAGTTATTTGGCCTTTTCTGGAGACGATGGTCTTGGTGTCAGTAACTCATCCTGTAGTAGAGTATGACTAACTTGTGGCCCTCCAGAGGTTGAACTTGCAACTCCTGTCAGGCCCAGCAACATTTGGAGGGCCACAGATGAGCGGTCACCTCTGCCTTGGTTACTTTCAGATAGTGCTGTATTGCTGCAATGTAGGGATGCTTTTAAAAACAGTTCTATAAGGTTCAGTGAGTGCAAAAATGGTTCTGCCAAATTATTGTCTGGGTTTCAGCAGTTGGAGCATGTATCTAAACTGATTTTGTTTCCAAGCTTGATTTAAAGAGCTGGTTTGTGCCTTAAAGCCCTAAACAGCTTAAGAGCAGGCTATTTCAGAAAGTGTCTGCCCTCCCACCTACCTGCCTGATCCTTGGTTGTGTGGCCCTGCTTTCTGCCCTGTTCTTATGTAAGATATGATAGCACCATCTTATTGCCCCTTTTTTCTTGTGATTCTTATTATGTCCAAACTTTTAAGAAGAGAATGTACCACTTGCCTGAAATTCTGGCTTTATCTTGTTTGCTTCACTTTGGGAGCCATTCAGATATATTTTCTTTAGCTTTCTGGAGTTCACAAGGCAGCATGTGCGACACTCTTAGCTATTTTCTTCTAATAAACGGAACTTTGTGAGTAGCCTTAAAGTTCATTTTCAGTCGGAAACAACTGGGATAGTCTCTGCTTTGGAAGCTTGCTTCGCTTTGTTAAAATATCGCACATCTGGGTAAGCCTGATTTCTAGTCATTATTAAGAATGATGTGTTATAACCAAGATAAAATACTAGTTAGGTTTGCATGCTTGAAAGTGCTCTCAATTAATCACCACAGTTTAAAGTATAAGCTACTAGAAAGCTAATATTGAGGAAGTAAACTATTTTTTTGCTTTCTGTTTGATGGTTAGCGTCTTGTGGGAGTGGGACATACTGTCTTTCAAACTTGTTCAAATTACAGTCAGACCAAATAGCTGACTTTCAAAAATTGTGATGCTCATGTAGTGGTGGAATCTATGCCAGCAAGGCAGCTATGGCACCTCATAAACTCAAAATATAAGTTGCATTTGGAAGTCTTGCTTGCTTTGTGAATTATGTAACTGCTTCAGAGACAATTCAAAACTTAAAAGGAGTCTGGTTTTTAAATTCTGTCCGTAGTAAACTTGCTGATCTGATGTTTCCCAAAGAGGAGTGGGATGGAAGTGAAATAGATGGACATTTATAATGCTCTGTCTTGCTTTTTAAGGTAAACAATAAAACATAATGAGCTGTACTGGTATACAGTAAAGTGGCATACAGTGGCATACAGTAAATTAATAAAAACAATAGACAATAAAAAAGATGAAGTCTCGAGCTTCATCTTAAAAAAAAGTGTGTGCTTGGAATCTTTCATTTATTTAATGAATATTGATAACTACAGTTGAAGACAATGGGTTGGATCCAAAGAACCTTGAGAAGGAAAAGAGCTGCCACCGCTTTCCTCACATGTTTGAGCAAGAATTCGCATAGTGATATGAGAGGTTAATTCTGTAGCAGTTCTGTTTCCTTCTGCCTACACAAGAGGCTATGCAACCTCTTTGAATTCAGTTGAATTTTCTTGCACAGCGTTCCCATTGCAAAATGTCAGTCCTTTTGTCCAGCGCAAGGACAACTTTTGGATCCAGCCCAGTGTTTGGCCTAATATACTAACTGAACCATAGAAATGACATGAATCATTTTTCTGGGACAGATCTTTAGAAGTCAGTTACAGTGGCTATTTGTAGATAAATGTGTACATCAGAGAAATGTTGAACAGGGCCTAGGCATTAATTCAGAATCTGTGTCTTAACTAGTCTCAGGAGTGTTCTTTCATTTATGATCCTGCCTTGAAACTTCCACTGCAGTTTGAATTGTTTGGAAAGGGACTAATGAGTTTAAGTCCTCTGATGCTTCATTGAGGTTCAGAGTTCCAGAGGAGTCGCAGTAGCTTTGCATTTTTTTCCTGTTTGTTCGTGACAAACCAGCTACTGTACTTGCATAGAGTAGTACAGTCCTTGCCACTGGCAGTCTCTGTGTGACAGAGAGCCTGTAGGCTGACATAAAGTGCAGCCTGTTGTGAACTGCTAAGTGAGAGTCTGCCAAAAACTCAGTAGACAGAACTAATTGGGGGGTGGCGGGAGGTGGGTGGATTTTTGAGCCCTCATTTCTCTCCCCTTTTTTTACAAGATGGATATTGTTAAAGTAACTTGTTTATGTAAGATTTGTCTGCCTCTATTTTCTCATTGCATGAATCATTTTTTAACTTCAAGTCTTGCACTGCAGGTCACTGAACACTTCCACATGGCGGCTGGCACAGGACCAAGCTCAAGACACGCAACTCATCACAGTTGATGAAAAATTGGTAAGGGCTTTCTGCTGCGTATGCTGCCTTGAGGGTTGTTTCTGTGTAACAGGTATTCAGTCCTCCATAGTGTACTGGAAAAAGAGTGTAACTGCCGAGTAAAAGGCCTTTCTTGACTAAAATGGGTACCTTGGTAAATCATAAAAGTCATAAAATAGGATAGGATAGAAGAGTTGGAAGGGATCCTGAGGATCATCTAGTCCAACCTCCTGCAATGCAGGAATATGTCTTCAGGAAAAAAAGTGTGCACTGAGATATGCAAGAGTTTAAAATACAAAATTATGCATCTTGACTACATTCATGTTGACTAAATTGTGGTTAGGAAGCAGTCAAAAACATTTTTAATGTGACATATTGGAATCTGCCCACTTCCCTGTTATACATGAATGATTTACAAACACTTCTTAAAATTAACTGTTGGGTTGTCTCATTTTATCGCAATACAGTTTAAAGAAGCCATGTAAATTAATTGTAAGCTGTGTTCATACACCCTGTTTTAAATATGCATGAAGGATTGCAATTAGAAACAACTGTGTAGCATTCTTTTGCTAATCATTACCAGATCATAATTTTGGCAGCCTTTAAGTTCTAACATATTGCAGCGTGTGGTCCATCACTAGTACAGTGATGCAACCTGATATTTATGCTTACATTATACAATGGCCTGACTTTTGTTGTAAAGCATCCAAGACTCCTAGTGGGAATGTCATAGTTAAAAGAATAATTTTCATTGACAATTGTATCATGTTTGATTTTTGGAGATGGAAAATGGTAATAGAACCCCCTAAGAATACATAAGTTGTAGTGTGCTTACCTTTGAACATTGCGAGAACGTACCTCCTTGAAAGCAAATGGCAGTGGCTGAACAAGTGCTTGGGAAAACTTGCAGTGCTACCTTAATTAAACAGGGTGGTTATTGAAGGATGTATCCAGCCCCTCTTAGCAAGTGCAGAGCTGCATTCTGGGGGGATTCCCAGCTCATCTATGCATTCAGGAGCATTTCAGGGTATCAGGGTGGGGATCAGTTGTGCTCCCCCTTTTCAATAATGCCATTACAATTAATATTAAATAAAATGAAACTTTCCGATTGACTTCTTCAGTGACATTATCTAGCAATATGAAGAACAATTCTTGGTGCAGATTTTGTTGAAATGCTTGGTCATTGTGTGGGAGCACACTTAAATTCAACTGCACTTTTTTGTATTCTTTAAATATAGCAGAATATTTTATATGTAAGACAGCCTGTGTAAGTTAAGTTCATCTTACAGGTAAAATGCACTCTGTGTTAACCCTAGATACAGATTCTGCATATTCTGCATATTTTTACAGGTATTTTTTGTTAAATGAATTATTTTCCCCCCTAAAATAATAATACTTGTTATCAATCAGTCCTTGTAAAGCTTGTAAAGCTATTGGGGGGGGGGATTCTCCAAGCTTCTTAGAATTAAATATGCCTGTTCTAATTTACCCCTTGCCCTCCCTAGCCTATTTGAACTTCTAGTCACTTACAAGGATCATTTGAAGTACGGCTAGACTAGTCTTCACTGAATTTAGAAATGTGGACCCTGAATGAATTAACGATCTATAAGATCATTACAAAAAGTTCAGTTTGTGCTTCTGTGGCAGACTGAACTTTTGATGTTTGATGATGAAAAATAAATTAATGCAATCCAGTTTTAAGAAGTCTTAATGTCAACACCCACAGCAATGAGCCACAAATTTGCATCGTGTCCATTTAATGTGATAAAATTTAATAACCCAAACTCTGGTTACTCGTATATACTTTGAGACTGACTCTGTAACTTCCTTAACTTCAATCAAAATTATTGAAATTTGAATGGACAACCCTGCAAATTTCTTCCTCTCTTGCCACTAGTCTTCTAGCTCAGTGGAGCAGCTTTAATATTATTTCACACAACCCCAACCTCTCAGCAGTGCGAGATTCTAGGAGTTCCAGCCACTCACCCAGGGTCCCTGTTTCCTTTTGGAAATGAGGCACGGTAAAGACTCTGGTGTCTGTATGATATATGGTTTATTTACACATATATACAAGCTGAGCCCCTGTGTTGGAGGGGCTCCCACCATTGCACTCCAAGAGGGTCTGGTCTCTCCCATAGCTGCAGCCTTAGATTCAAACAGAAATCAAAGATAACTCTAAAACATGGGTCTGACCCTCTCTCCAGCTTGCTGCATTTTACCATCTGCAGTATCACTGCAAAAACTCCATTCTAAAATCTCCATTCCACTCTTCAAAAACTCTTCTTTTCGTCTTCTACCTGACTCAGAGCTGGAGGAGGGGCCTCTCCCATCTGTCTGCTTTTAATGGTCCATCTCCCAAGGCGATTACTTCTTCAGGAAGCCAGCCTGGCTTATATTTTAACATTTGCTGGGTCCAGGGGTTAAGAACACCCACAAACTCGAGCACCCACCAACTTATAACTATATCTATATACTTCTATCCATCCATCCATAGAGACAGACACACGGTTCATAATACTGGTTAATCATGAGTTTTTCTGGCAAAGGGGCTGCCCTTATTTCCTCACCTTTGATTGCTGAAATGGGATACTATGGATTAATTTGACTGCATCATGTTTCAGTGGAGTTGACCTTTAAATGTGTTTCTTAAATTTGAATGCCCTTATGGTGACATTGATAAAGTCTGCAAAAGAAATAGGCAAAATATTGTAGTGATTCCTAGACTGGGAGACAGAATGTGGACATTTGCAGAGGATAATTTATGTGGGTGATACATACTCAGCTTAAATGAGACACGAAGAAGCCCTCAATATAGCAGAATAAATACTTTCAAAAAGATTCCTCGCTTAGCCTTGCCACAGATGTTTTTCCTACATCTAAACAGTCAGATCTAAAGCATGGGTCCTTCTGTAGCATCCTGAGTTTGTGGCCTAACAGCAACACCAGGTGAACCATCCATGGGTTGAATTCCAAAGGTCTGGAGTTTATCCTGAGGAGCTGATATCTATAGCTTGCCAGCTGATCTTGGCTGACATTATAAAATTCAGGGTGAGAGGTGGCCCCTCTAGGCTTTGTCTATGTTGGGAAATTGCCCTGTTGCTGACGTGAGATGTCAGCAGTGGTCTCCCTTAGTGAAACTTAAAATGATTTAACTTCTACCATATGAAACAAAATTGGTTCCAGTACTATTATAGAAATCCTGTTTCTCCTTTTATAAAGTTGTGTGTGTCGCATATAGTTCTCTTAAACTTCAGTAATCTCTGCGGTGTTTCTGCATGAGCCCTCGTGCCTGTTAGTCCACTCACATTCTGATTTGTTGAGTTGTAAGTATTGCTCTTCCAGATCACTTTGCAGCTCAAAAACAGGAAAATATAAAAGTAGCTGTCCTAATTTGTCTGTATGCTATAGCAAGAAATGCTTAATCCAGTACGTAAGTACCACAGTACTATTGTTAATTAAATAATAATAATAATACTAGTGGCAAGTTGTTGCTGGCAAGGTTGGCATAATAATAATAAATACTGCAACTCTGATTGTGGGATTCCTGGTCAAAATGAGTCAACTTCCTAAAGATTTCCAGGTTGGTATAAGATGCCATTTGTCCCCATTCCAGTTGGGCTTTGTATATTGGAAAGAATAGGAGAAACTTATCCTAAACCGGCAGACTTCATTCAGGACAAAGGAGTAGCAGGAATCTTCCTACCCTCCCTCCTCTCCCATAGAGTTGAAGGGACCAATGTTAGTCATAATGAACTGTAGAGATGTAAATGGGGTAGAATTTAAAGGAGCTTTAGAGATATCTTGTACTTTTAATGTCCTCAGTGTGGTTCGGAGCCATACTTCTCACATTGAGAGTCTGGCTGCTCCTAAGAGAGGTACCCTGGGGGTAATGTAAAGTAGACTCATCCCTGGCCCAAAAGACACGGACTGGAGTAGAAAGTATTGTTTCATTCTCTCCCAGTCAGGGGTCATGTGCCCACCCACTTCTTCAAGTGGTAGTAGTGAAGGACCAGCAATGCAACCCTTTATTTTTCATGGTCTGTTTTGTTTCTGCAGGGAACCTGAAAGCATCTCTGTGATCCCTGTTTGCTCCTTTGATCTGCTTGACCTCAGACTGGAGATAACTGAATGCTGCCAGCTGAGCTGTTTGTCTTTACTTTGTGCTGGTTACGCTTGGAGGCCCAAATAATTCTTTTGAGTTAGGGATGGCTCTCTGGGACACAGTTTTAAGACCTCTTGTAGATAATGCTATGGATACTTCAGTATCTATTCTGGAGCTTAGTGATATTGAAAATTGTGGTCATTGTTGTAAGGTTGACTTGTGGATTTCGTGGTCAGTTCTTGAACTGATAACACAATAGTCCCAGTGCAATCTTATGTGTGTCTACTCAGAAGAAAGTCTCATTTAGTTCCATAGAACATACTCCAAGCAAGTGTGTATTTCTGCACGTAAATGAATTAGAAGAGTAAATATTCACTGTGGGTATCTGCAGTCAGACTTTTACCACATGCCCGTTAACCTAGGGGGCATGCTACAACCCCCAGATTGCTAGCCATGATATCAGTATTGTTTTTCAAGAACTCTGTATGATTATGAGTTAGTAGAACACCAGCCAGTAACAGAAGAACTCAGTAAAATTAGAAAATACAGGTTGGTGTTTTGAGGGAGCTGGAGGTCTGCTTAGCTGAAGATTTGAAGCATTCAAAAGGAACAGAGTTTGAAATATACATTTCATTTTTAAATTTCTTTTAACATTGACTTTCTAGCTGTCACTTCAGAATTGCTGGTAATATAAGGCATTGTACAATATTTTGCATTCAGTTATAACATTTGTTACTGCCAATACCTCAAGCAGTATGTTTAACAGTCTGATGTACTAATGGCCTAAAATTGATTCTTACATTTAACTCAGTACTTCTGTATTTCAAGAGTGTGTTTCATTCCTGTTATAGGATTTCCTGTGGTTAGGGGACATCATTGGGTCTTAAAAATGAATGCGAATGAAAACTGGTATAGATAAAGATGGTCCATTTTGGATTGGGCAAGTAGGCTAATGGTCTGATCTGGTATGTTTGTAAGTAATGAACAGATTAATGAATTGCAGTTAGGAATTAAATATAATAAGAGCTACCTGAAAATGGAGAATACAGGAGCAAAGGAGAACATTTCCACAGAGTTCCTAAAAAATTCTTTTAAGACTGGTAAGAGAGATGAATGTTTAGTTGACAGACAGAATAGCACACTATGGTTCTTAAGCTGAAACAGGACTTGTAGTGCTAGACAGATTTACATATTCCCTGGTATGTTAGGAATCCCGCAAGATTTATCTTATTTTAGTAAATGCATGTCTTACCTTTCCACCTGGGGACACCCTTGGCAACTAACAATATAAAATACCAAAAAATTACACTCAAGTAAAACTTTTAAAAAACATTTACAAATGAATAGTTGAATAGCAGATAAGTACCAAAACACACCAGCCAGTTAAGTTTTTTTAAAAAAATTCTGCCAAAAGAGGCAGAAGAGGGCAAAACATGGATCTTCCTTGGTAGTAAAGGTAAAGGGACCCCTGACCATTAGGTCCAGTCGTGGCCGGCTCTGGGGTTGCGGCGCTCATCTCGCTTTATTGGCCAAGGGAGCCGGCGTACAGCTTCTGGGTCATGTGGCCAGCATGACTAAGCCGCTTCTGGCGAACCAGAGCAGCGCACGGAAACGCCATTTACCTTCCCGCCGGAGCAGTACCTATTTATCTACTTGCATTTTGACGTGCGTTCGAACTGCTAGGTTGGCAGGAGCAGGGACCGAGCAACAGAGGGTTTCACAACTTGGTGCAGCTCCAGAGCAGTCTCTTTAAGATTTACCCCACAAATGTGCCCCTAATAAAGAAACCTCCTCTACTAATCCATCAAGTGTCCTGACCACAAATGATTTAAGCCTTTAAAAGTAATAGTTAGCACTTTGATTTGAGTCTAGAAATGAATCAGTAACCATCTGGAACCACAAAGGATGGGCATCTTATGTTAGGCTTCCCTGTAAATGGCACTGATAGCTTAGATTAAGTTTCGACATAGGGAGTGTGTTGTGATTATGCAACTCTCCCTGGGGATCTTATTGAGTGATAACATAGAAATATCCATAATGATTTTTTGATATATATATTTTTTGCAAATAAGCTCCCAAAATGTTAGTAACCCTCCTATGTATATGTCCCTGAGAAAGAGAGACGGGGTCTGCCAAACTACTCACCAGGAAGAATAGTTAACCTGGGCAAGTAGCCTGATGAGAAACTTGGCTTACTCTTTATTGGCTTACTCTTTAAAAATACTACCCAGCGACATCTTTTCGTTCATGCAAGGACTTCCGCTTCAATGGAACTTCTCCTTCCACAGCATCCCCCACCCCCCAATCTGTTTGGGTTTTTAGATTGCGGGGGTGGAAAAGGAGGGGGAGATTGCAGGCAGAAGTCCTTGGGCGAACAGAGTGACTTCGTTGGACATGACTCTTTGCTAGGAATGTCTTGGATAAATCAAAGGTCTTAGTTTTATAATGAGCTGCCATTACGAGTTTGGAATAAATTAAAAAGAACCAAGCTGAAAGGCATCCCTTGTAATCTTTTATAGACATAACATGTCCTATAACATACTTTGGATGAAATGTGCTTTAACTCTTGCTTGTCCTCCGTCGTGAGATATACGAAAAGGACTGGATTCCTGATTCATATTCAGCAGATGAAGTAGGCTGGAGGAAAAATCCATGTTTAAAAGGCAGGGCCTAAACATATTTCAGGCTGCTGTATTTGCATTTTTGTTATTGGAGATACCTTCCCTAATCTAAACATAACCTTGTCTTTGCTGGCTCATGAAAACCTAAATCCTAAACACATATCAGTAGGCTTCTGGCACAAGCAAGCAATTTTGCGCAGTTACTGAAATATCCTCTCAAATGAATTGTTCAGTGCTTCCTAACTATGCTGAAAACTCCATTTGTGGGAACAATGTTCCAGCATTGTACAAGCATCCTAGAGGCAGCCAATTCTTCTGTACAGAGATTCCCCAGAGTGCCTTCCCCACAGGACAGGCTCAGGCCTTATCTGCAGCTTACAGTGGTACCTCGGGTTAAGTACTTAATTCGTTCCGGAGGTCTGTTCTTAACCTGAAACTGTTCTTAACCTGAAGCACCACTTTAGCTAATGGGGCCTCCAGCTGCCGTTGCGCCGCCGGAGCATGATTTTTGTTCTTATCCTGAAGCAAAGTTCTTAACCCGAGGTAATACTTCTGGGTTAGCAGAGTCTGTAACCTGAAGCGTCTGTAACCTGAAGCGTATGTAACCCGAGGTACCACTGTATTCTGTGCTCCAAGACTTGTGGTTCGCCCCATTTAGCTGCTGAAGACTAGTTTCACTCTCTCGTCTCCATCCAAATATATTCTTACAGCTAGTTCCAGTTCAAAGCATAGTTGAAGGACAGCTGTATCTTGGACGCAGGCATTGGAAGGATTATAACTGCCATGTGACCAAAGCTTTCTGTTTAAACTGAAGGTTAATGTCATTGACAGGAGGAAACTTGTCTTCTTTGACCTTAACAATATAGGAACTGGTTTGTTTGTTTTTCATACACTCACAAAAATTGGTTGAAGAGAAATCTGGAAAAATTGCAGTGTTGCTTAAGATAGCTGTCAAATATCCTGAATTCTTGGCACCATTCTTACTGATAGGATAGCATTCTTTCTTTGCTGACCAGTTGACAGAATCATTATATGCCGACTTGCATTTACTCTGGCAAATTTTATTTCAAGTGTGTTATGACCACATGAGGCCCAGTTATCTGAGCTGCACTCCGACTTTGAAGCTCAGTGATTATTCCCCACTAGAATTTAATTGTTCCTCGGCATCTACCAATGAGTCCTAACTTTTTAATAGAATTGACTCTCTTAATAGGTTCCAGTGCCACCTTGTCAACATACAACCATAGAAGCTGGCTTATACATTGAGTCAGTCCGCTGATCTATCTAGCTCAGTATTGTCTCTGTCAGTGGGACCCACCTTTAATCCAAACATCCATTTAGGGAATGCTGTTCTAGTTTGAAAATCATGTATTTGTGTTGCAGTTGTACTGCTGTTACAACCCACTTTAGATAAGGCTTCAGCCTGGCAGTGGGCCCTTATCCACCAGTTCTGGACCAATGCTCTACATTGACTGACGGCAACTTTCCATGGTTTCAGATAGGATCTTTCCCAGCCAATACAAGGGATTTAATCTGGAATTTACTGCATGTACAACATGTGTTGTGCCACCAAGATATAATTCATAGGGAGCTATGGTTAGCACAGCCCAACAAATCCTCATCCATTCTTCATGTTTTTTTCAACCTACCCCAATGAAATTGCAGTTTTTATTATAGGGAGGTGTTTTCTAGGGAAAATATGGCGGCTTTCTTACTTTATTTGCTGGTTGCTTGATATGCTGTGTCCTATTAGTACACTCTTCCTTGGACTAAAGGACATAACCATTCTTTTTGTTTACAACAACATTAATGTTTTCTATTTCAAACATTTGATTTCTTCTCCCACCCATCTTTTCCAAGGGTAATTAAGGAACCTCAGAAGCAAATCCAAGACATGCCTAAATAACTTGGCATGGGGCTCCAATGCCATACTTCTTAGTACACTGCGGTCCTTACTACTTGAAATTCTTACAAGAGCTGTAAAACTATGCTTAATTAATTATATAGTTCTTGATTTTAAACATGTTCATGCACATAAATTTGGAGAAGAAAAATAACTATTACATGACACTGTTTTCCTTGTAATCTGTGTAGAAATTAAAGTGCATTTTTACATTTTTAAAGTTTCTAGAAAGTTTCATTTATGTGAAAGGTAGAGTTCTACAGGAAAGGGCAGTCTTTCTTGTCACACTTATTTCAGCACTCTAAAGCTTAAGCTATAAGCACAGAGTGCACAGAATATGTTAAAATCCCAATTTAGTCCTTTTTTGTGTCTGGTGTTACACCTTGCCTCAAATGCTGGCTGCACTTTCTCTGCTTATCATTACTGGTTTAATTTGATGAATTTCAAGTAGCCCTGATGTTTAAGCACATCAGATTTGTAGCTGTAATTGCATTGCTGGAAAAGTTAGTATATCTGGGGTCTGCAGACTTTTTTGGGGTGGCTTTAAACTACATCTCCCTAGAGGTGGGTGAGGTTTTCTCTTTTGAAGTTCTTTGAACACAATTTGTTGATTGAATTAGTTTTTTAAAAGGGGGGGATAGAGATTTGCATCCTTGAAAAGTGAAAGAAGAGAAAGTTGTTAAGACAAAAGTAGCTATTTATCTGTATGTTCATTTCTAGTGGAAGCTGATATCACTGGTTAGTATTTGGCACTGTAACTGTAAACTGGTTCAGTTTTAGATATAGAGAAACCTTCAGCAGTATTTACTAGACAAAATAACTCCAAACTGGCTTTAAAAGCAGAGATAACTAGAGCATCATCTGTTTGAATTGTACCCTATTGCCACAGAACCCATGTTAGCTGTGGAGTCTTGTTTTGTGTATATGGTGGCATTGTTATGAAAAGAAATTCCAGATTAATTAGATGGGAGACAAGCTTCAGACTTAAAGTCAATGGAAATGTACAATTAATTTATGGTCTGTTTTGACTGGTCACATTTAACGTTTAGCGCAATTTATTTAACTTTATTTTAGTCCTTTTCCAGAATGCTTAACTTTCAGTTTCTTTTGCATTCTTCCTTCACTAATTGTGCTCATGATTATCACTTTGAAGTCTGCCATGTTGAAAGTGATAATCAAAGCCACAATTAGTGGTGGCAGATTCAACTCCGCAAGTAGTGTATGTGAAGCAAGGGAGTAGAAAATAGAAGCCATTTGTAAATGGGCAGACCTCTGCAAACACTGAAGTGCCTTGTCTTCTATTCCAGAGAGCTTACTAATTGATTATCGGCTGTCATGTAGCAACCTTGGTGGTGAAGGTACATTTTAAAATAGCATTTGATTGATAGAAAGTGCAGTAATATGCCACATGATTTTTCTGTTCAAGAACCCTTGCAAATGGGACTTGGGGCCAATACAGGCAAACCATTACCCTTAATTTTTTGAGACGGTGTGCATTTCTGTAATAGAACCATATAGCTTGCAGTCCCCCCACCCCACCCCAAATGAATGCTCCAACGCAGCCCTTTAAAAATAAATGAATAGGATTTTGAGAACAGAGGTCACGGTAACATAGTACATGCATATTTATATTTAGAGAAGTATATTCAGTTTTTAAAAGATTGATAATTCATTGCAATTCATTGCCTGCCAATTAATTCCCTCTTTAATTAGAATACTGTATCTCAATTCAGCCCCCAGTGCTTGCTGCCACTTGCTTTTCTAAGTAATTACTGTTTGATTAAGCATGTGGTAGTGTTAGCAAGCTCAGCTGGCTGGCTAGTGATACAGAGCTTTCTGTAAAATGTCTGCAGGCAACAAGTTCTCCGCCAGTCGACAGACTGTAGCAGTGGCAGATCTAGCAACGAAATCAATATATTTATCCTTGTTTGTAAAAGGGTTTTATGGTCTTCCAAAAGAGAGGCTTTACATGAGAGATGCTCATTTCCCATAATGGCATTGGATCATCATTTGGTAGCTTTTCAAGTATTATTGTGGGTCAGCAGCAGCTCGTTTTGAATTACTAACCTGACAAAATACTTTTTTGTGATGGTAGCTGCATTTAGTTTTCAGATTAAGGGACTGGTGGGTCTGGCTTTCATTTCTTCAGTTTCTTTTCACTTTGGTACATGGCCGTGCTATCTCTGCTAGGTTGCAGGAGCGTCTGAGATTGGGGGTTATACCATTTTTCTAACATCTCAAGTGTCTGTTTTGTCTGCTCAGAGGGCATTCTTGTGCAGAGATTTCAACGCTTTAGTCTGGAGCACTGGGTCAAAGGATATGTCTCTTTGGAAGGCAGATGGGAGACCTTTTTATTCATGAAGTAGCATTTCACTTTACATCAAAGAATAGTAGGTTTTCAGACCTCATTATGATGGAAGTTCAGTGCAGCCCTTTAAGAAGACATGCAACATATTCAATCTGTTTTAGATGCTTTGGGAGACACTTGTCATAGTAACTTTGCAAGGTTTCAAATTTGCTATCCATAAGCACTCCAATCCAGCATTAGTTTAATGCTCACAGAAGATTTCTGTGCATTCATTCCCTGTAGTATCAGGAACCACACATGTAATTTCTGAACTTAATTTCTGAAATCAGAACCATATGAACAGTGCAAAATAGTTTTCTTGGGGTGGTTGGGCAGGAGAAGGCATGCTACAAGACTGAATCCAGCCCCTTCCCCTGTTCTGAGGAGGTGACAATTCTCGTACCTTCCATACAAATGGCTGAGATTGTCATTGTCAATAATAAATGTCCCTTTAGCACTCCTTTTAAAGAAAAGCCTTTTGTTTTACAATTAATTCCAGAAATAACACAGAATTCTAATTGTTGGGGTCTCTTAATAAGAGCAATTCCATAACAACTCCCTGAGGTGGCAGAATTCCCAATTCTTGTTGAACATCCCTCCAATATCTTATTGAATTTTTCTATTAAAGATTCTTCAGCTTCCCTGCAGAAGTTTTTCATTAATTAGCTACGTACAGTTAGAGCTTCCTCTGAACTAATCTAGTGTCTCATTGCAACCAGCTACAAACTAAATGTGCTCATTGAGCCTTCCCTCTAATATTATATATTTCATTATTATTATTTTTTTGAAATTATGAATTTCACATATTTGGATTCAAATAAACTGGATCCTGTCTGGTTTATTTGAATCCACCTTAAAATATGGGTTCAAGCATACAACCAGAAAGATAACAAAGTGCTGCAGCTTCTTATGGAAGGCCGGGGGCAATGGCTTCCTGTGATATTTCAGGTCAGCTTTTCCCAACCTCAGTTACCGTTGGACTACAATTCCCAACATTCCATACTGGCTGAGGCTGATGAGAGTTGTAGTCCAAGATTGGGAAAGGCTACTTTAGGTCATATGTGATCATGCTTCAGCTGGTCTATAGTATTACCTCTTTAATGTGCCCCCACAGGTCTGTAATATGTCAGGGGTGTTGCATAGGAAGCATATAAGGCCTCTTGCCTTTCTGTGGGGCTGTTTCGCCTACAAAGCAGTTGATACGGCCAGGCTGAGTTCAGCATTAGGAGGAGTGTCTGGAGGGGCAGTGCAACCAGACACATTCCTTTCCCCCCTGCTACTAGAGATCTGTGTGGCAGGGAGAAGGATGTTGGGGTCTGCCAGTGCAAGGGGAAAATCTGTGTGGGTTTTGTTCAATACATTTTTTAATTCAGATTTGCTTCCCTAAGAGAGTTGAAATCTTGCCACAAGTTGGAAAAGACCTCCTTAATTTGGATTGGCTTTTGCTGAATTTGGAAAGTTATTTATTGTTTATTTTTGTTACTATATTAAACAATAGAGAGAGAAAACCTCTAAGTTGCTTGCATAAACACAACAAAAGACGACTTCTACAACAAAGAGGTTCCTGTTTCTGGTTTGTAATCCACCCTAAGAAACGGGGCAAGGGAAAATTTAAAATAAATGTTAACAAATGTATCAGATATTTACAGTTGCTGAGAGGAGAAACAGGAGGGGGGTATATAATAAATGTGAGTTAGGAAAACAGGCTTCTAGAAGTAGTGTTTAATGGGGACTTGAAAGTTCTAGGCATTAATTAACAAAACAAAGTGAAAGTTTAAACTGTTAATAGCTGTGACATCCCTAAAGCATAGCAGTGCAGAATGCTAACACTAACAGTTCTCTATTGTGTACTATTTTAACAGGGTAACTGTGTCAGTTCTTCCTAGCTCCCCTACCTGCTGTCTTTGGAAATAATCTTCATTACTTGGTGCTTGTTTTTCCGCCTTTCATTAACAATGCCTATCACAGCATGAAAGTGCAACATCTCTCATTACTCAAAATGGGGAAGAGTGGAGGGGAAGTGTATTGACTGGCAGAGGCTAAATACTTAGGGCACAGCATCTAATACTTCCACTTCCTAAAATAAGATTTCATATTAACGCTGCAAGTTAACATAAGAGGACCTTCTAAGCCACTGCAGAGGCTTCTCTAGAGTAGCCTTCAGTAACCTCCATGTGTTTTAGGCTAGCTGGAGTTGATAGGAGTTGTAGTCCAAAATGTCTGAAAGGCCCCAGGTTAGTGCAGGCTGTTCTAGACCCAAAATCTTTGCCCACACTGTTTACTCTGTGGCAAACGCGTAGTTGTGTTCAGCTCAGCCTTGTGTTAATTTATTGATAATGCTTGAAATTGGCATGTTGGACCCCTTTCCTGTTTCCTAAACTGCCCTAGCCTCTTGCGTGTGAACATTTAAAGCTCTATGTGTGCCTTTGTGGCCTGTCTTCCCATACAGTTACACATTAGTGGGAGAACCTGCCTTTAATTCTGTGGTTAAGTCTGTGTCCAGGGCAGCTGTCTACCAGCTCCATCTGGTGTGTCGATGGAGACCCTACCTGCTTGCACACTGTCTTACCAGAGTGGTACATGCTTTGGATATCTCCCACTTGGATTACTGTAATGCGCTCTACGTGGGGCTACCTTTGAAGCTGATTTGGAAACTACCAGAAAACTACTCTGTGGCTACCAGAGTGGCGACTGGAAGCAGCCACCAGAACCATATAACACTGGTCCTAAAATATCTATATTGGCTCACAGTATGATTCCGAGCACAGTTCAAAGTGTTGGTGTCAACCTTTAAAGCCATAAATGGTCTCGGCCCTATATCCCTGAATGAGCATCTCCACCAATTGCACTACTTTCCAAAGACATTTGAAGGAGGTCCTATACTGGAAATTTTTTAATGTTTGATGTTTCATTATGTTCTTATATTCTATTAGAAGCTCCCCAGAGTGGCCGGGGCAACCCAGTCAGGTGGGCAAGTGGGGTGTAGTACTAGTAGTAGTAGTAGTAGTAGTTCTTTTTCAAAAAAACATCTCAATAGCTTTTATTGAGTTGGGGAGACACTGGTTTTGAGACCAAAGCTTTCATAGAAAGATGTCTATGTCTAAGAAATAAGTTCAGTAAAATCCATAACTCTTCCCACCCCCCTTTATACAACCCTTTCTCTCTTCAGGCATGCTTTACCTCTGCAATGATCGCAGGTTCATCAATCACTTTAGCCATGTTTAGGTATAATCCTGCATGATCAGAATACTAAATTGTGGGGAGAGCCTCCATGAGCACAGCAGACTCTGCAGCCCCAGCGCATGGAGGGCAATGGGAATTTGACAAAGTGGATGAAGCTAGCTAGCATGTCCATTCTCTCCCCATTTCACCATTCTAATTATATAAAGAGTAACAACACCTCAATAGTTGCTCCATGCATCTCAGGATGACAAGATAAGTTATGAGGATGATAGAGAATATTATTGCAGGGGATTGGACTAGATGACCCCCAGACCCCCTTCCTATTCTACAGTTCTATGATTCATTGTCAGCTTTGTGGAGGCCATTGCTAGCTGTGTTTTTGGTCAACAGTGTAAATGGTTTGCTATACAATGGAGTCAAAAGAAATCCTGTGCAACTCCCCTTAGCTGTTCTATAGTCATAGTTTCTTCTTTTTAACCCTTATTTCTTGATTTTTAAAGCAGAAAAGAATGCTCATTGTGGCACAGAATGGCAGCAGCAAGGTAGCAGTGGCAAACTGCCAGAATCTGCAACTGAGCATATTTGGTGGGAAATTGCTCATGGTTGGCCTTTCTCAGGTTTGTGTAGCATGGTGCTTCTTTTGGGGAAGATGAAAATTCAGAAATCTATCTTTCTGCCTGCATGTCTAATCTGACAGTTCCTTTTGTATTGAACTTCGCTGCTGGTTTTCTTGTGTTTTGTCTGAAAAACTGTCAAGCAAGAAATGCATATACTTAAAGCCTGTGTGTGTGTGTGTGTGTGTGTGTGTGTGGAGTGGATGAAAAATTTGGGTGTCTGCCTGCAAAGCAAGCAATTTTATTCCTTTCTTTCTGTGGTAGGGGTATAACTCCCAATTTCCAAACACCTCATTCTCTTGATGAAATTGTATGGAAGGGTTTAATGTGCACAGGTAGTTAGAAATATTTTTGGCAGGATCTTAGTGTACCTGTGGATAAATACAGCAGTGGTGATTTTTTTATTTTTAAAGAAATCTCTTAAGCACCAAATATTTCAGGGGTTACCAGGGCTTAGACTTTTTCTCTGTTTTTGTTATAGTTGCAGAGGAGGGAGAACACAAGAGGGACACAAAAGCAAACATTACTGTTTCACTAATTAGTTATATGGAACGGGCAAAAGAGAAGTACGGTAGTCTTGGTTTGATGGTCCCTCTCCCTCAAAAATTTTTTGCTACTAATGCCTGTGTTGTTGTCATGCTGTGGGTGGTGCTGGGTTGTTAATCTTATAGATTATTCTTATGGCTGATAGTATGGCTAAAACCAAAGAGCCTACAGACACATCTCTTCAATCTCCGATCATGTGACATCTCTTGGATACCTGAAATTGAGCATTAAAGAGCAAAGAGCTGTTTTTCCTGGGAGATAGCAGTGGGGCCAGAGGAAGTGTGGATAAGCCCTAGTGTGTTATGCTTTTTTAATGCATTGTTGAAACGCCATAGGTATTCTCAAAAAGGGGGAAGGAAGTAATTTGCAAATCGTCCCTGAAAATGGGGGGCTGATCCCCTCTGTCAGAAATTCTCTTTTTGCTTCCTTTGGTTCCTCCTGCTGTTTTTTCTTTAGGGAAAATTCAGCGACAACTCTTGTTGGGTTGTCATCAAGATGGGATCTCAGGTCTCTAATATTTTGCCCCACTAGTTAACACAGGATGGGCAAAGGAGAAGTAAGTTGATAGCAAATCTTCAGCCATAGTTTGCATTCTCATTTGTGCACATTTGCATATATGGGTGAGACTTGGACTGGATTGTCGTGAATATGAAAACTATGAGTAGGAACTGTGGTAGAGCTCACTTGTGTGAATTGCTCTTTAATATTCACCCCTTCCTTGATGCTGTTCCTTCAGTACTTTTGTGTGGCAGGGAAGCCATTGCATTGCAAATGGTTCAGGTAGGATGCTATTTCTGGGCAGATCAGTGCCCAGTGATGCACGGAAGCTTGGTGTTTCGTTCCCTCCTGGTCATCTCCAGGTGCCTGTGGGGAAATACAAGCATGAGCTGGGTTATACATAGATACAGTAACCAGGCCAGCAGCAATGTTAGTGATTGACAGAATTTTTTCCACCACAGTATTTATGGAAACCACTGCTAACAATATCTTTGTACAGCATGCTGACATTTCTCCCAAAGATTCCCTATTGGGAGATAGACAGAAGGGATCAAATGGAGAAAAACCACAGCTGCCTTCTATGTCGGAATCAACCCAGAATTACTGTATGAATGTCTATGTAGCAAAAAGACAAGCGTTTGGGTATAGTAAGTACTTTCTTGAAGGCTAATGCGCTTCCCCATTGCTTGTGCTGTTTGAATCTATTAGTTACATACCTGATCATGTTTAGTGTTTATTCTGCAGACTTCCCTTCCTCAAACCTCATCCCAGAAGACAATAGGGAAAAGCATTGAGAAATGAAACTGTTTCACCCTCAAAAAGTCACACAAACAATTTTCAGGAGCAGTACATAGAGGCAGACACAGCAGTTATCCACAGTTGTCCCAGTCATATGTTTTTCAACTCCATGCTCTTGAACTTTGTTTTTAAACTTCCAGTGCTTGTCCTGGCACAGTCTGTTTTAACCAACTCCGTTGCAACATCTTAGTGGTCTATTTAAAATATGAGGCATGCTAGCAAATTTGTCTAAACTTATCTAAAGTAGCGATACCATCTCTTCAGTCCCTATCTTTATATATAAAAAAGTATAAACTGTGGAGGTTAAGTAGGTTGGGCAACCGGAAGTAATTACTAAGTCCAGTGTGGTTTAATAAAGGCAGAGGCTAATTATTCAGTTTTTTATTTAAGTGAAATGGGGCCAGAAAGGAGGCTCCTGCAGAGCAGCTGCACTCCTTCAGTGTTACCCTAATTTACCACAGACACAACTGTCACAAACAGAACTTTTAAACTTGGTATAATGGAAGTTAGGGGGCTTTTGTCTGGAGTGCATGCAGAAGAACCCTTTTATACAAATCAACCGGCAGATGATGGACAATGATGAAAATTTGATTCTTTGAAGTCATAATGGTCATTGAAATGTGTGAAATTCTGGCATTGAAAAGAGGGCAACTAGCAAGGCTCTGAATCTTGGGTGGCTGCTGGAAGCTTGCTGGGAGGTTTTCTGCATTTTGACATCAACTTCCCATTGCTTGTTCCCGGCTTCCTTTTATTTAGAGAGGAGGAAAATGTTAAACAGTAGATATTTGCTCTCATGGGTTCTGTACAATCTCTTGTGGTCATATTTGTGTGCTCTGTCGTTATGCAGATGTGAAATTGTTATACGTTCCTGATTTCATGAAACAAAAACTGCTGATGCCCAGAGGTTGTGGGGTAGGAGGGTGGGTTTGCTACTGTTTCTTCCCTGTGGCCATATCATTGTCTAAAAGCTTACATTACTAATTTTCCCCATAACAAGGTGGCTGAAGTAATACAGTTACTCTCAGAAATGAAGCAGAACACTAAAGATGAAACTTCTTCCATGATTTTGGAGGGAGTGATCTAATTTAAAAGTAGCCCACTTCTTCTGCTTTGAGTGAAAATTAAAGGTTAGAACCCTAGAAATTGGTTTCCGGTTGTTGTTGTTTTACAGTTGTGTTATGAGGTATTTCGTTTTTAAAATTCCTCTTTTTGTTCCCTGTTCTTAAAAGCGCCTCTCTTATATCACTCCACCTGAAAACCTGCTTCAAAATGGAAAGAATCATCTGTCATGCCAAACAGGATTCTAGTTCATTATATATACAAAGCACCAGTTTTTTGTTTTCTGTATTTTGAAGATACACCCCCCCCCAACATAATATCAAAGAAATCCCACAGGTGCTCTCCTGTCAGCATTTGAAAATGAATGGACACAGAAAGCTTGGAATTGTTAAGCACAATACTGCTAAATATACAAAAAGGTATTTTTTAAAATAAATTTTAAAACCCCAACTCTTTCCCAACATCTTTGTTTCAGAAAGTTGGTTCACAGGTAGTTTTCACTGAGAACTTGAACTCGGAACAAAGCGCTGGAGACACAGTAGAGAGTTGGACTTAGTTCTTTTCAAGTATTATATTGTTTTTAATGGCGTCTTGAAGCGGGAGCTTTAGCCCATTGAAATGTCGCTAAAAGGACAGGTTCTTCTGTCAGTAGCTGAAGCTGTGTGGATGAAATGATCACAATAGAGTGTTGTAATGCATTTTCAAAGTGTGAGAAATCAGTTTGTCTAGACTGAGAGTGCGCCTACAGGGAATAGGAATTTTAGAGCTTCTGTGCTCTTTAGGTGTCAAGTATGTGAGAGATGCCAAGCCTTTATTCCATATCTTTGGCAACAGCTCAGCAATGCTACAGTACCTTACATGTCTAGTGCAAGCAAAAACAGCAATTCTGTGTCAGGACAACTCAGGGCTTCACAATCCAGAAACTCATTGTCCTAAACAACTGTCTGTTCAATTGCCAGCTTTAAACTGGGGGAGGGAGGAGTGTGTATGTGGGGAGAGGGGAGGGGAGATATCAATAAACAATTGCTGTATTCCCAGAAGGCATGGAAACTTTGGCTGTAATGAATCAAAAGTACAACGAGCTAGCAGCATCATGCAGCTATTTTAAATTATTAAAGCAGGCCCTGTTTTTCTTCTTGCTCTGAAAAAGAGGCTTTCAGAAGGATAAATCCCTTGCCACCACTAAAGGGTTTTTTTTTTCTCTTTAGTTGCAGCCAGTCAAATACCATGGTATCTACGGCTTGACTTTTTCACGTTAGACTAGACCTTTTTCTTCATTAGAAGTAATTTTTAAGCATAACAAATCTTCCAAGGGCAGCATAGTCCTATTGGAAAGCTATACACTAGTTTTAAAATAACTACAGTAAAGGCCCTGCAGTGGATTGACTTGATTTTGGGGGGGGGGGGTAAGGCAAAGAGAGACTTGATGCTGTGCACCTAAGACATAGTGTAGCTTTCTTTAGTGTTTAACTTCCAGTAGTGAAGAAGCCCTCATCTCTGATGTGCTGCTTTTCAGTAGAAATATCCCCTTCTTGTGACCTACTTTCCCCATCCATTTCTGGGGAGAGGAGAGACTGGATTCTATCCTCCTCCACCGACTCACGAAGGAGATTCCTCTCCAGAGTTCCCTTGGCTTCTTTTGCAAGTCCGGCTACTGCAGACAGCAGTTGGCCTCTATCTAGAGCACATCTTCCATGTACTCAGGACCAACAAAAGATGCTATTTGGGGTGGCAGGGGACAATTCGCTGTTGCTCAGAACTGGGGAAGGAGAAAAGTTATGATTACTATGTCTTATGAGAATATAAAGGACAGAAATGTGATTGCATTCAGTGGTGACCTAATTCTAATAGAAAACACTTCCGCTTGTGCAAGAATATCAATTCCGATCAACCCACTGCAGTTTCCTGCTCCCCACAGGCCTGCTGTTAAGAGCTGGGTGACTCTCTGGAGTAGCATGTGGTATTTCGGTACAGAGGGCTGAAGAAGATAAGAATGGAGTCTTGCCATGGACAAGCACTTTCTGCTAGCATGAAACCACTGTTGGCTACAACCCACAGATTATAATCCAAAACGCCATGTGTACCAGGACTGTACTTTCACTTTTGATGTGAGGAAAGCACCTGGGAAGAACACCTGGTATAGTGGTAGTCTAAAGACCTATGCACGTTTGGCAACCATGGTAAACAGAAGGCCTCCATGGCATGCTTTTCCCATAGAGATGGTGAGTCCCGTATAATCGTATCTTCTCACTTGCAGCTGACAATGTAAAACAGAGATTTACCTGTTCAAGTATCTTAAAAAGTATGACACACTTTGTAGGAGGATTTCCCTACCTGCACGTGTTTGCAAAAAAAGAAGCAGCCATGATTTGTGTACTGCAGAAGCTAACACAGAAAATTCCTTAAAAACCTGCTATTTTTTGCAAATTTGAGAGTGTGTAAGCTTATGATACTATCATGCTTCTTGGTGTCTCCACATGCAAATGAGGTGGGCGCAGGAACAAGCCTAGGGAAACTGTTGAGATATATCAAACTAAACCATTTAGTTTTGTGGAACTGGGGAGGAAAGCGTACAATGTTGCGGGAGGGGGGAAAGAGTGGGGGAGCCAAAAAATCGGGAGAAACTGAGCTGCATGGGCACTTGGAGGATTCTGGGGATGAACAGACAGCAGTTGAAGCCTCTGTGCAGGCGCAAAGAAGGGAGAGGTAACACTGGAGTCGGGACAAAAGTGAGCAATTGGCTTGGCCTCAAAATACATTTGGAGGTGGGACTGGCTGAATAGAATGCAAGCAGTGAAGCAAGTTTATTCTGCTTAGCACTGGTACACTGTGGGGAGGGGGCGGTAGAAAAGAGAGTATGAGTGGAATGTGAGCTGTGAAGCGAGCATTCCACCCAGACAACTCCAGGAGCTATGTTCCATGTGAGCAAGGCTCTCATCCCTAATATTACTTAATTTTTCTTCTTAAAAAAAAAAAGATACAAGGACATCAGGACTATGCATTTTCACACTTCTGGAACAGTTGTGGTCCTGAAGTCCTTGCACGTGTTTCGGGTAGTATGGAAAAAAAGAGGGCAATATGATAGTATGTGCAGGGGGGCAGCAAGCGGGCTGGGAGTCATTTGTGAGTTTGAACAAATATTAGCAAATAGGGAAGGTGGGAGCTGATTGGCAGGTAGAACATATTTTTCAAAGCTGTAGCTGACCGCTCACAAAAGCAATAGATTTTGCAAAAAAAAGGGTTGGGGAGTTTCTGACACTGAGGAAATTTTTTTGATTGATAGCCAGCTAAGTCATACACAAGAGTAGACTCATTGAAATCAGTCCACTTATGTTCGCTTGTTTCAATGGATTGAGCATGACTTAGTTGGCTACCACCTCTTGTACAGTGATACCTCGGGTTACATACGCTTCAGGTTACAGACTCCGCTAACCCAGAAATAGTGCTTCAGGTTAAGAACTTTGCTTCACGATGACAACAGAAATTGTGCTCTGGCAGCGCAGCAGCAGCAGGAGGCCCCATTAGCTAAAGTGGTGCTTCAGGTTAAGAACAGTTTCAGGTTAAGTACAGACCTTCGGAACAAATTAAGTATTTAATCCTAGGTACCACTGTATATAGTATGGAAAACCACAGAGCGATAAAAGTGGTGGCTTGACACCTGGCTTGAGAGCAGTACATGTGAAAAGGATCTAGGAGTCTTGGTTGACCGCAAACTTGACATGAGCCAACAGAGTGACGCGGCAGCTAAAAAAGCCAATGCAATTCTGGGCTGCATCAATAGGAGTATAGCATCTAGATCAAGGGAAGTAATAGTGCCACTGTATTCTGCTCTGGTCAGACCTCACCTGGAGTACTGTGTCCAGTTCTGGGCACCACAGTTCAAGAAGGACACTGACAAACTGGAACGTGTCCAGAGGAGGGCAACCAAAATGGTCAAAGGCCTGGAAACGATGCCTTATGAGGAACGGCTAAGGGAGCTGGGCATGTTTAGCCTGGAGAAGAGGAGGTTAAGGGGTGATATGATAGCCATGTTCAAATATATAAAAGGATGTCACATAGAGGAGGGAGAAAGGTTGTTTTCTGCTGCTCCAGAGAAGCGGACACGGAGCAATGGATCCAAACTACAAGAAAGAAGATTCCACCTAAATCTTAGGAAGAACTTCCTGACAGTAAGAGCTGTTCGACAGTGGAATTTGCTGCCAAGGAGTGTGGTGGAGTCTCCTTCTTTGGAGGTCTTTAAGCAGAGGCTTGACAACCATATGTCAGGAGTGCTCTGATGGTGTTTCCTGCTTGGCAGGGGGTTGGACTCGATGGCCCTTGTGGTCTCTTCCAACTCTATGATTCTAAGTGCTTCATGGAGAAGTGCGAGAGAGAATAAATAAATGCAAACAAATAGGCAGCGTTACTTTTTGGGATGCTGCATTTTTACATTGGAAATAAATTAAGGGGTGGTGGTTGTGGGGTGCTTTATGCTGCCTCTCCAAGTGCACTCAGTAGTCATATGTGCCCCCCCTGCTGCCACTGCCATCTGTATGTTCAGTGGTCATGGCGCTCTTCATGCACACTGGTCTCCATACACAAAGGGCATCCTGGTCCATTCTAGAGATGGTACAGCCCCTTTTCACATGCGCCAAACATGGCTGCCAGGACTCCGCCACATAGCCCCTGCAACTCTCTCTTTTAATAATTCAATATTACTGGCGTAGGAAATAGATGTGGAAAATATGCCTGCAGAGGCTCGTCTCCCCCACCTGCTCTGCAGTTATGAGTAACACTGAACTGGTTAAACAGTGCTTCCTTACTTGATGAGCACGTAGAACAGCTATGGGGAACCTCTGGCCCTCTAGATGCTGCTGAACTTCCATCATCCTTGGCCCCGCTTGCTCAGGCTGCTGGGCATTACAGTCCAGCAACATCTGGAGGGCCAAAGGTTCCCCACACCTGATGCAGAGGACACAAAAGCAAGCTTGCAGGTTGTAGTAGGTCACCCCTGGAGCCAGCAAACTCCCAACACGTGCTTGCAAGGGCAAGGGCCATGTTGTCTTCCCCAACAGCTGAGCTCCCAACATAGATGGTCAGTAGGAGAAATGGAAACTATGCTGAGGGTGTGAGGAAGGGAAGAGATTATTTCCTTGATGTTGGCCCAGTCTGATGTAGTCAGCAACCACTCTTGATGGCTTTGTGCTGCTTGAAAGGGGAAAGAAAAGCCGAGAGACCAGAACCCAGGATCTCTGTCACTTAAGACCATGCATATACCCTGCGCACTGAGCTGTCGCACTTGGTGGAGGAGATTGGGATATTCTTTCTGGCTCTCGCTTTTCCAGCCAAAATACTTGTTGCCTTCAGGCCACCCAAATAGTGTGCTTTTGCTCGTGTCTTCCTTGCCTACCGTTGATCTTCTGCCTTTTCCCCAAAGAGCTGGGCAGCTCATGCTGAAGCCTCCTGTAAGCTTTGTTGTAAAGAGCATTTTTTCTTATTTCATGAAATTTATGTGCCGCTTGGTTGTTAAACAAAAACAGAAACCCTCTTGTGTACAAACACACCACTCCATCTCTGTCTCTCTAACAAAAAAGAGACTTGAATCGTATCATTTGAATATATCTGACACACCCTCAAACCAGTAAAAATGAGTTTTGCATTTTTATTCTTCCTTAATATCTTCTACTTCGTTTTTCATGTTTGTTTGGTTTTTTAAAAAATGCCTCACCTTTTGGAAGTTAATGAGAACTGGATTCCTTTTAGTTGGTGACCTATAAAGGATTCCCCCCGCCTTCTTTTTTTAATATGTCCTAATCCCAAGGATATGTTAATATGAAAGCGGATGTATTATTGCTGGTTGATTTCTATAAACAGACATGTTGGAACAATCAAGCCTCACCTTATTTTTTTCTGCAGGTAAAACACGTTGTGTGAAGCCTGACAATTGGTTGCCCAACCAAACAACTTTTCAGATATTTCTTTTTTTAGCCATCAAATGCCAATCTGTCAGGAGAGAATGTAGTTTTGTGTGTTGCAACATTTTGACTAATAATTGGTGTGTCTTCATATTATGACTAGACTGGTATTCAACATAAACACTACTTGCACTCAAAGAAAACATTTATGATTAAATTGTTAAAATATTTTGACAGTTTGCTTTAGGTAGTCTGAGCTCAGCTTTTGTGCGTTGTTGTAATTTCCTGTGGGGTTTTCCCCCCCTCCTTGGTTCTAAATGCAAGACAAACATTTCACACTTGGCAGTTGTGACTGATCTCTCTGAGTTTATTTTATAAAGTGAAGCAAAAAAAGGGGAGGAAGGGGATAGAAGACGGGCCTCCTGTTTTCTTTCTTTCTAAGGATGGTCTGGTGAGAATATGAAGAGCTTTTAAACTCTGTGACAGAAGAGACTCTGAAGTTGGTAGCTGGAGGCTTATTTTAAAAATCCCAATGTGCTATTTAGACTTGTTTGCCTCCTCAAATTTAAGTCATGTCATCACTGGTTTGGATTAGTTCTGTCTGCCTGCAGTTGGACCTGTACCAGATCAGCCTTTTGTTCCTGGAGAAAGGCAGCGGAAGACAGTCCAAGCCTCTCCCATTGGCATTGTGCATGCAAGAATCTAAGTAGGCGGCAGTTTTGAGTTACTTCTGCTAGCTTAATGTGGTGGCTTCTGCAGGAAGTATTTGATGATCCACACTTTTTTTTGTCAACAGCTGTTAAAGGACTAGGATTGCTGTGCAAATTATAGAGAACTGCTGAGAGGCTTTCCGTAAAGTTTACTTTCATAGCCTGACCCAGTCACAAGAGCTTGAGATGGATATAATACCACCGCACCAGTGTAAAGAGACAGTTCTCTGTCCAGCAGGATCTCGCACATAATTGAATAAAGGGTGGGGAGCAGGTAACACAAAGGGCTTGAGATGGATACCTTCCTGTTGGTTAGATTTGGCCCACTCCTTGCATCATACAGCCAAACCCCCTCTTTCCACACCATCATTCCAACAATCCAGCCTTCTTGCTGCCTTTCCCCTCTCAAACCTTAACAGAATGCATACAATGACACTATTGCCTACAGCAAGTTCCTAGCAGCATTCAAAATTCACCAGGCACATTTTACACCTGGCTAGTGGCCACTTGTGACCCATGCATGCCTGTGGATCCTTGGATCTTGACGGTTTTCACACACTGGCAACACATCCTGTAGAATTTTATCTGTGATATTTTATGTGCGCAATCAGAACATGTTTCAGGAACCAAAAAGTCGTATTGAAAAATACATTTTCCAAGCTGTCTGGCTCAAAATGGCAACTAGACATTCCGTTTTGGCAACTGCACCCTTGGTTTAGGAGCCATTCCACGCCTAGCTCATAGATCTAGCTTTCTAACACTGATTACACTGACTTTTCAGTTTCCCATTATGTGCCTTTTTAAAAACCTGAATAATAATAACTCAGCATATATATTTTTTAAAAAACAAATTTTTACTAATAAAAAGTAACATGGGAGGCACCCTCTTTTCTGCAATGCTGCTTCGTAGCAACAACAAGACAGATTATATTTTAAACTGCGTTAATTTCTTCCAGCAATGCTTAGGATCTAAGAGGGTTATATGAATACTGCAGGCTGTTTGAATGTTTCTGCTGTTATTGCAAACCCCTTCACAGCCCCAAAAAACACTCCTGAAAGTTGGGAACCCTTTGAAATAGCCTCTGATGCTGCACAGGAAACTGCATTTGGAGGAGGAGAGAGAACCCTGGTATAGATCTGGAAATCTTTGAGTGCACTTGCAAGTCTTTAGATTTCAACCAGATTGTGTTACAATTCATAACTGCTTTATCAAAGTATTCAGGAGCCTCAGTATGGCATCCAAAACTGTCTATGAAGTAAATGTTTTTAAGTAATCTTGCCCAAATACTTGCCTCAACCTAGTTTGGAATGTCTGACTTGTCAGGTTGAAACCATATCCTTCCACACCTGCCCATACACCACTTGCTACCAAGCAGCAATGACCGAGGTTGGTACAGCTAGTCCAAAACAAGATGCTCAGCACTGACAGCCACAGGAAAATAGGTTTACAGCAGCCCATTCAAATCCATCTCTGCAACCCCCGATGTCTAAACCTCTCATCCACTTCTATTGGGATTCAAACAAGACTCTACAGAGAGCAAAGAGAGTCTCAAAAGAGTGTTTTCCTGCAGGTTAGTTGAATTCAGAGGGAGGAATTCCACGTAGCACTAAGGAGATTACTCAGTCAGTGCAAGCATTTCTCATTGCTTGATAGAACGGTCTCCCCTCTCCTCCCTGCCATGTCATGTGGGGAAGCAGAGGAAGGAAAGCTCAGTTACACTACCAAAATGCACAGATCTGCACTAGTGAGAGCAGTTGGTTAAATCCAACCCAGAAGTGATAAACCTCTTTCTTCTGGATTGGTTGTATCATTTCCCTGGATGGAAATGACATATTTTAAGAAGAGGAAAGTAACCTGTTTATTCTTACCCAGGTCATATTTGTTTATTCTTCTTTTTTCTTTTTCCCCCCAGGACATTTCACCTTTAACAGGTGTACCAGAGGAGCATATCAAAACCAGAAAAGTTCACATTTTTGTTCCAGCCCGTAATGCCATGCAAGCTGGTGTTAACAACACAAAAAAATGGAAGATAGAATTTGACACAAGGGAGCGCTGGGAAAACCCACTGATGGGCTGGGCATCTTCGTAAGTATAAAATAGCTGGCAAGTTCCATAGCTGGTAGGCTGTTGAGTGCTATGGAGCTTTTATTTATTTATTTATTTACGGCTATTAGCCCATAAAGTATGTACAAACATAAAAGCACAGAGGCATAAAGACTAATATATTCGGCACCAGAAGGTGAACACCATGATGCAGGGGTGGGTCATTGAGCAGAGCCAGATAACAGCTTGGGGCCCGGAGAGCTCCAAGGGACGGATCCCAGAAAAGGAGAACTGAAGACGGGATCCGACATGCACTCTCTTCAAAACTGACCGATTAGTTTTTGATGTTGTTGTTTTTGGTGGTTTTTGTGTGTGAGATAACTGCATTCAGGAATCTCGCCACCTGCAGAGTTACAGAAGGATCTGTATCCTGCAAAAGTAGTGCGGCATGTGACTCAGCAGGCCTGCCAACCAAGCGCAGTAAAGCAGGGCCCAGGAATTTAGTCCTGGCTATGCTATGTCGGGGACAGTTGAACATTATATGTGAGAGAGAATCAACAGTTTTCCCGTCACACACGCATAGCGGAGACACCAAACCCTTGGAAAATCTGTGGCTCAGCAGGTTCGATGGAAAGACATTGAACCTTGCACGAATAAATGCATGTCGGTGTGGTACAGATGAAAGAGATGACATGTATGATGGAAGGCCAAGTGGTGAGGTTATTCCGTGATACCTGGGGGAGCAGACACCCTCACCCCGGCGAGGTTGTGTTGATTTTCAATGTCTGCTAATCTCTGCTCAATAAGTCTTTTGGCTGAGCGTAAGTTCATCTTTAAGGAGTCCGCTGGGGAAATTCCGATGCTCAGAAGTTTGGCATGGATTTTTCCTACCCATGGATTGACAAAGTCGTCCCGCCAGAGGCACTGAAAAAGGTAATGGTTGGGAAGCCTGTGCCAGCTGGACAGCCAATAACCAAAGACTCGCTTCCAGATGACCGTCTCCAATGATGCAATCCTTAACTCCAGACGTATGGCTGCGTTGCTCACACACATGGGGAGTTTCAGGAGGCGACGGAGAAACTGATTCTGCAATGTCCCCAACGATGTTAAATTGGACCCTGGGGCCCAGAGCGGGGCAGCATAACAGAGGGTGGAAACCACTTTTGCATGGTACACCTTCAATGCAGAAGGGATGTGGGAGGCTCCGTCGGCCGCAAAAAATTGGAGTAGAGTATAAAGTATTGTTTTCCCTTTGTTTAATAAATACTGTATCTGTGGCTTCCAGCTTAGGTTGTAGTGAAAAAAGACTCCCAGGTATTTAAATGCTATGGAGCTTTATTCTCTGGCCTTTTGAATCTAGCAAACCCTTCCACATTCTCTCGTCTGTCTGTCTTCACCATCTCCGAAGACTCCATCGGCTGATACTGCAGTGGGGCTTGGTAGACAGACTGTTGCAGATCTTCTCGCTGCCACTGGTGTTACTGCTTAAATGGGACATTCTAATTCCAAGGTCCATGCTCAGTTTCTGCTAATGCAGAACTGCCTGTGCCTCAAGAGGGCTTTCTTTTGCCTCCTCTCAAAGCAAGCAAGTTAGAAATTTCCAAGTACAGAGGCATGGCACTAGCTCTGAGCCTTAATTTCCCCATCTGTAATATGAGCACAATACTCACGATCCACTGTATTGAGGGACTGAAAGATTACCAAGATAATGTACTGAAATTATTTAAATAAACACACGAAGCATTATATTTGCAATGCTCGTTGGGAGACCAGATTTCAAATCCCCACTGAGCTATGAACCCATCAGGTGAATTTGAGCCAGTCGCAATCTCTTGGCTTAACGTACCTTGCAGGGTGGTTGGGAGGATAACATGGGGATAGGGGAGCCTGTATGCCATCATGCGCACCTTAGAGGAAAGGTGGGATAGGAATGTAGTAAAATAACAACAACTAAGTATTATTTTGGTAGCAGATTCATTCTGAAATTAGATTTTGGAGGATCTTTCACTGCACATTTGAGAAGAGATCTTAGCAATTCAATGAACTTAAATTTCAGCAACAGTTACAATAAGTGTGTGTTGCAGTGACACTGATAATGGAGCTCACTCTGCTGCCCTAAATATGTTCAGTAACATATTTAAATTGCTGTCGCCCAAGGCAGACTACAAGGGGCTGGAAAATACCTTCGATTTCCTTCTCCACCAAATTTGATACTGAGTGACCTCCAAAATGAGTTGGTGTATGTTTGTATGACAGTAGCATCTCCACAGAATTATGTTCAATTCTGTGTTTAAAAAGCATGGTAAAAAAATCATGTTCACAATCAGTCTTTGCATATAAAGTTAGCAAGTTAGTTCAGTATCTCTAAAGAAGATAACTGAATATTCTGCAGGCATCTGCATATTGCATGCCAAAACACCGTTTTAATAATGATGCAACTATGTCCTCTGTCCTCAGTGAAAGGGTCTGTTTCCCCATTTTGTGACCTTGGGATAAGTTTTTATATAAATTTTAGAAGCTCTATAATGTATTCTCATAAATTCTGAGAATTCACCGTGCTTCTCTTGCTGGCACAGAAAGTTCTGTTTTAGTTATTGTGGTGGGGGTATTTCATTCTGAAAAAAAGATGTACTGCATATGTTTAGCATTTTGGGTTGCTGTGGGCTAGAGGTTTGGCTAATTCAGAAAGTGGAAGGCTAAGAATTCTTGGCCCTTTCGTGGTTCAGCCTTCTCTCTAGAAATATGAAATGAGAGTAGAAAAAAGTAATTACCTTTTATTGTTGTCTTCTTTTAATTTTCTGACACCTCAAAATGCATTCCCGTCTGCAGCTATTGGGGATCATGGAGAACAGGAAGCCGGAGGCAGAAAACTTTTATCATGCCTCAAGTACAAATATTTGGTTAGAGCTAGCCTGATTAAATGCTTCTATTATAATTACCATATTTTTCGCTCTATATTGCCTTGCTGCATTTTGTATTTTCAAGAGACTGGGAGACTTCTATTCAACCCTTTGGTTCTTGTGCTGTCCCACAATGTTCCTTTTTATCCCCTCCCCATGTTTTTTAATGTATGAAAGCAGTTAAGACCCAGCACTGTCATTAGAGGTCCAAATGACTTCTGTGGCATACAATGTTTTTCAGCAGTCCAGCCACTTCCGAATGGAGGGAGGCTGGCCCCAGTGATCCATGCTCTGATAACTGTTGCCTGGAATACTGCACAGTGCTAGTCCTTAATCTTTGAAGCCCTAAATGGCTCAGGGACTATACCTAAAGGAGCTCCTACTCCCATGTCAACATGCCTGTTTTTTAAGATCATCCGCCAAGACTCTTTCCCTCCACATAACTCTTCCATCACTAGTACAAAGACAGCCTGCAAGGAAGAGGGCTTTCTCAGCAACGAGACCCAGGTTATAGAATGTCTTCTCCACTGTCAGCACTAATACTGCTCTTAATATAACAGTGCCAGGCAGGACCATTTTTACCCCCCCATGGCATTTTGATAAATGTGAAAATTGTAGTTTGTGAGTGAGAGAGAGATGTGTGTGTATATACCACACTAAAATCTAGTGTGATGGAGAGTGGTATTTAAAATGTTTTAAGCAAATAAATAACTAAACATTGGTATTTTGCAGCGCGGATCCTCTGTCCAATGTGTTGATGACCTTTTCTACGAAAGAAGCTGCTATAGCCTTCGCTGAAAAAAACGGTATGTGCAGACCACACTCCATGCAGTGCTTTGGTGGGACACTGCCTGCTTCTGCATGGGAAAGAGGAACCCATTGTTCTCCTGCCCACCAAGTGCTCTACCCAGTTGTGCTCCACAACTATCCCTGGCAGGTTTCTCCATAATCATCACCATCATAATTTTTTATTTGTATGCCGCCGTTCCACAGTTAAAAAAACAATGCTCAAGGTGGCTTATAGCATAACAAGATTTACATAATTATAAGTCATAAACAATAAATAAACCACATCAAAAAAATACACAGCCAAATGGGAAACAATTTCCACATAAATCAAAATCTAAAACTAAGAATACAGCATTAATATCACAGTTTAAAATGACATAGGTAAAAAAATAACAGCAGTTTAAACAAAAAACAAAACAGAGCCCTATCTGCCCAGCAGCGGCAGTAGTCCTTTATAGAGCCCATCAGATCCCTCCCTGGGCCAGGTGGTGAGTGGCACCCAGCCTTGAATGCTCATGCCTGACTCAGGGATTGCCTTGTTTCCTGACTTTTGCTGTCCTAAGCCACATCTTCCCTAGTGATTAAGATTTCCTATGACTGAGCAAGAGGCAGCATTGCATTATTGTGCAACTTTGCTGACATAACCAGATGTTTTCAGAGTTGTCCATTCTAGTCCCCCATTCTACTGGAAGCATGCGGAATAATATATTCCTTGTGTTTTGCTGCCTGACCTTCAGAGGTGAAGGAACACAGCTGATTTTACAGACACCATAAGGATTAATTCTTTGCTACTGCGAGAAATTTGAATTTGGAAAAATAGATTTAAAAAGATGAGTCTGTATGCAAATGCATATTGTAAAGGACTGGCTTAAGCCCTGTGACTTAAAGCGCAATAGTTTGATGTGGTTCACAAGTCAGTGCGGGGCACACATCCTTACAGTTTTGCAAACTGGGAAGCTGGCTTCCGATACCGAGCCTGTCTAGTCAAGTTGCGTGGGATCAATTCCAATCTGTTACCTCTGAGGATGTGGACTGGCTGCTTGGACGAATGAACCCAACCACCTGTCTCCTTGATCCTTGCCCACCCCGGCTTATAAAAGCTAGCCAGGAAGGGCTGGGCGATGAGCTTCGCAGGGTGGTGAATGCTTCTCTCCGTGAGGGAGCCTTCCCAGACCCGCTAAAAGAGGCGGTTATCAAACCGCTTCTTAAAAACCCATCTTCAGATTATTATTATTATTATTATCTGGCTCTATTTATGTAAGGCTGAAAGTGTTCAACTAGCCGTCTTCCTAACGGAAATAAAACACACTTCAGATGTGTCAGTTTTCCCTAGCATAGTCTGAGGGCTTTCTGAGGAGGACGACTTCTTGTAAGCATTTGCAGCTCAAGTGTTGGCACAAAAAATTAAACCCTTTTATCTATCTCATTTCCTGCAAATATTTGACAAGAAACTTAGTACTCTACTTGCTAACGTGAAGAACCAAGAGTGTTGGCCTACAGCCCAGTGTAATGCGGGCGAGGGACAAGGTTTCCCCTCTGCCGGTGCCAGGGCACCTTTATCTTGGTCTACAAGTTTCACTAATTCCACAACTAGGCCTCCTGAGCACAGAGATTGGAGCTGCTTGGCAAGGATGCCAAATTATGTGCTAGTTTATAACACTCGGGGAAACAAGGGGCCATTAAACTCATTTTCACTCTCAAATTCTAGAGTCAAAAGTTGAGCTTGTCTCTAGAGGGATGAAGGCTAGTGTGCTAAACCCAAGCCTGTCTAATATCTCCCTTTTTAGCGTATTGTTTTTTTTGCTTCAGGATAAACTTTCCTTAAACGAATCCCAGAAAAGAATTATGCTGAAGGTATTTTTAACTTACACTGGAAGTTCAGCACCTTTTCTATTTGTAGGGTTTTATTTTTTGTGTGTGTGCACAGAGCATTTTTGCTCATCCCTGCTAAGTCACAAGAGGGCAAGTAGAAGCTCATGCCTGCCTATCTGGGAGAAGGAGGGCTCCCCTGGGATCACGGCATGACAGGACATTAACTGGGCTAAGGGATAAGAAGAAGCTGGTTTGTGCCACTTCATTGATTTTTCCCTTGGAGAAGTTGCGCCTATAAAATTGGGTGATCTCTGGAAACATGGCTATTACCCCGGCCCAGTACAAAAGAGATTCTGGGTGCATAAAGGACATTTGAAATAGCATATACTGCCATTCCTTTTCATCCTTATTTGGAGTGAACTAGATGTGTGAAGCTGAACTGAGAGGAAGCAATCCAATCAGATGACTTTTATTGTGGGGTTTCCGTGATGTGTGTGGTATATAGCGTGGTTATTTGGGTATGTTGTGTATGCACCTCATTGTCATTTTATGGCACACTTAACCTGGCCTGCAGGGGGTTGATGGATGGCAAGTAGAGATTGTCCATTAGTGTACAGGTGGATCTGGTTTGGTGGAGAATTAAAATTATATTATGAAGTGGAATGTTTAATTTGGGTAAGAGATTGGATTAGATTGGAAAAAACTAATATATTGGATCTTGAAAGTTTTAATAATAGATACGGATGGCATGCGTATCTTAATTACGAGAAAGTAAAAGTCAATAAAGTCATATATTAAGAGGTACATTATATAAAGTTTGGAACAAATATAGATTACATGTGGAGCCACAGACACCTTGGTGGATATCACTGCTGGAGGCATATGCTATGAGGACAAATTGGCCAACATATAGACAATTATTGGAAGAGGAACAGGGGAAACTCAGATTAAAATCCTATGAAGACATACGGCAATATGAAGTTGACAGATGGCAGTATATACAACTTAGAAGTATATTCAATTCAGATCAAAAGAAAGGATTTGCAAAAGAGGATTCAAAATTTAACGTCACAGTGATACAGAATAACAAGAAATTGTCCAAAACATATAATCTTTTATTGGACTGGGAATTGATGGAGGAAGAAGTGAAAGAAACGATGATTAAATGGTCTCAGGATCTCAGACATACTATCTATCTAGAGCAATGGGAGAAACTCTGGTGAGAGGATATACGATTTACTGCCTCATATACAATTAAAGAAAATTTTGTAAAGATGTTCTATAGGTGGTACTTAATGCCAGTTAAGTTGGCAAAGATATACAAATTGAAATCCAACCTCTGTTGGAGATGTGGTGGAGCTTTGAGGAAATTAAGAAATTTTGGATAGTAGTACATGAAGAACTAAAGATGATGTTGAAAATATCAATAACAAAGAAACCAGAGACATAACTCCTTGGATTGATAGATGAAGAGATACCACGGTGGGGGGGAGGGATAATTTTTCTATATGCAAGTACAGCTGCTAGAATAGTGATTGCTGCTAGGTGGAAGTCACAAACTATACCCACAAAGGTGGAATGGATTTGTAAACTAAATGAATATTTAATTTTGGCAAAATTAACTGCTATAAGAAGAAATCAGTCGAATCAAAAATTAAAAAAGGAGTGGAAATGTTTTGATGAATATATGGCAAAATATCGCTCAAAAAAAAGATACGCTAATATGCCTAGATTAAAATGTGAAGTACTGGATGGAAGAAAAAATAGTAAGAAAAGATGATAATAATAATAATATATAGGTGATTTGAGAAGATTGCAGAATGCAAATATTATTGTAAATTGTATAATGTGGAGGAAATCGAGTGGGGGCAGAGGGAAGTGGGAGGAAGGAGAAAATATTATGATGGATTGAGGAAATAGAAATGTAAAGGTATGGGGGGATGGGGAGGAAATGGTGTTGGCCTTGGTACATCTGTATTGTAATGCAGTATGTGGGAACCAATAAAAAAAAGAAAAAAGGGGGGGAGATTTTGGAACACAGAAATAAAGCAAAAGAGAGAGAGAGAGAGAGAGAGAATGGGATGGGGATGGAATGGAATAAGCAGCTTTATTTTGGAAGATTCAGTTCTAGAGAATACTTCTGGACTTTCCCCTCACTTATTATGTTACTCTTTCAGTGCTTATTATAAATTCAGCTAAAGGTTTATATTGGGTGAAATATAGAAGAGCAGAAACAATAAAAGCACAATCTAATCCTGCACTGAAATCGCCTACCTGCATCTGTCCCCTCTGCTTGGTTTCTTAATATGCTCCCTTTCCCCCCTGCCTTTCCTGAAAATGGGGTATTGGTATTATGCTCGTAGGAGGGCTTGATGTACCTTAGGGAACATAGGAAGCTACACGGACTGCCAGTGGCTCTCCAGGGTTTCAGACAGGATAGCCTTCCTGCCATGCCTGGAGACACCTGGGACCTCTTTGCACGTGAAGCATGTGCTTTGCCACTGAGCTATGGCTCCACATGGGGCATATTTAGGTGACTGTCAGGATCGCCTGCCAAATACTTTTTCTAAAGGAAGCAAATTAGCTCAGCCTTACAAACTTGGTCACGACAAATTTTCTGTATCTTTTGTAGAATATAACTAGACTTTAAGTGTTTGCTATTGGTATCCTGTAGAGTTGTCTTCTTGAACAGAAAACCAACCTTCATGGCTTATTGCAAACTGCTTCTGAAATATTCAGCTCCACCTCAGAAACATAAGTCCAAAACACACACTTGGGCACAAAAAAAAGCATATGCAGAATTCCTTTGGCCCGGGTTTATATGCATAAGATGTATATAAGAATGAAAGAAGCATCCCTCCCTTCTGCTCCCTGGTAGCCTTTAGAACCTGCTCACTGACAGAGGTTGGCCGTGTTACACTTTTGCTGAGTATCTGAATAGTCTGTTATCAAGATTGCCTGCCCTTCATTTAACCCTATCTATCAGCAAGAGACTCCCCATCTCTTTTCTGTGGTCAGCAGTTCCACCCCTGTATTACCATCATATGCAATTCCATGTGCTGAATCTGATGGGTGCAACTGGGCTAAGGTTTACAGGGAGAGAAAACCCCTGTAAGAGATTAGTGTCCTTTGATTTCATCCGAATTTTTTTTTTTAAGCAGTGGGAGAGTTGGCAGTGTCTGTGGTCTGCAGAGCAGCTGATTCTGATTAGAAGGCCGCTTAATAAATTCTCCCAAGCTCACCTCCTTGTCCTTCTGGCTTCCTTGTGGCATTGTGGTACCCTGTTACCATGTATATTTTCAAAGCTTGGCCCGACATCAGAAAGAGAGGTGTAGATGCATGAGATTACAGGACTTCATGTGTCAACTGTTGGTGCTGGTCTATCAGCAGGAGCGGTGAAAGTTGGAACACACAGTGCCTGAGATCTGACAAACCTGAGAACAGGTGGAGGTCACATTTAAGGCATATCTGTCTTAAAGGATTATTGTTCTCTGCCTTTTACAAAAGAATAAGCTAGTAATTACATATAGTATATCAAATATGTTGGTTATTTCTTTTTTGTTAGCTCTTAAAAGCTTGACGTTGCAATTGTTTGTGTTGCACTTGCTCTGTTATTGGGTGCATGTGTGTTGTTTAGAATTCTCTACATGTTTTTTCCTAGGCTGGAGCTATGATGTTCAAGAGCAGAGGATTCCAAAACCTAAATCCAAGTCTTATGGTGCAAACTTTTCTTGGAACAAAAGAACAAGGGTGTCCACAAAATAGGTTGGCATTGGCTGTCTCTGCGTCTGACTGTGAATAAAGTCAGCTGTGCTGTATTTATAGTCCATGTATAATACATCTCTTAATCTCCTAATAAATTTGACCTTTAAACTACTCATGCATCTTGTGGTGTCTATTTAAAATGTTTTTGATGTCTCCAATTGAACCTGTTACAAACTTCCCTATATTTAGAGAGGAGATTTGGGGTGTTCATACCTCTAGGAAATTGCTGTACGTGGAATTCATTAAAAGGAATGTTTGAAATGAGCTGCAACATTAAAGATCAAGCCTTGCCTTTTGGAGTAATTTTATAGTTCAATAAATGTCCATCCTTTCACACAGAAAGGCTGTTAGATGTTCCTCTGGTTTTTTCGCTTATTTATATAGAAGAGGTTAATCTGTTTAAGTGCTGGCAGCAAGCGATCTCTGCTTACTGTTTTAAGCAGTTTTGTAAACTGCATTTTCTCTGAGCATCTTCCAGTTCACTTCACTACAGCTGACTTCCTAGAAAGATTCCTTATCTGAAGACCAGCTCTGAAAGACTGAATTAAGTGTCACATTCCTATAAACCTCAGTTGCAGTCTGATTGAGAAAATATTGTAAGATCTTGTTTTTAGCCTTTGAAGGTACACTCACAGTAATGCTTAAGTACCACAACAGAAAACACTGCCATTGCCTGCCCTTGATGCACAACAGTGGGGCAGGCAGCTGCCAGGGACCTGACTATGCTGTTGCCATTGTGAGAAGATATTTTGGGGGGGGGGGTTCATTCTCTTGGACAGAACCCATTGTGTTCTGAGTATTACGAAGGAGGCAGTAGACCTCAAGGCAAAAACCTAGGGAAATTGCCATAGCCCTGCATTTGCTGACTTTCTAGAAGCCAAGTTCATGACAGCAACGCCCAATCCTAGCGCTTTCCTGGGAGGTAGCATGAGCAACCGGCTCTGATGCTGTCCATCAGGATTACATGCCTGACCATTGACTGTAGTGGCTTGGACTGATGGGAGTTGGAATCAGACAACATCTGGATGATCAAAAGTTCTCCACCCCCTGCTATAGGAAATGATTTTTACCTCCCAAGAGCAGAGGCGAATGCAGTTCTAGTTCCTCGGCGCTTCCGGTCCCAGCAGCTTTGAAGAGTCAGTTCTTGTTGTCTCCTCCTGGTGCTCAACATGGGAACTGCATGATGAACATGTCAGCATGTTAAATAAGCAGGAGGAGATCAGTGCGCACCAAAATAAATAAAAACCCAAAATCAAATCACATCTGTAAATTAAGATTTTCTTATTAGGGCATTGAAAATTGGTTGAGGTTTGACCAGGCTGCCCACTTCCTGACACTGATGGAGTTGTGATCCTAACTGTTGGGGAAGACCTAGATATCGACTTGCTGGCGCACCTCAACCCTGGTGCTCAGTGCAGGTAACAAGTTGCTACTGATGAAATGACAACGATTCTAATGACAACGATTAAAATCCTAAGCAAAAGGGTTGTAACGGGGTGAAATGCTTTTGGAGGGTGGGGTGGCTAGAAGCCACAGTGGCAGAAGGTCAAGATGGGAGGCTGAACTTCTCATATTTGAAACCACCAGTGAAATGTTGAGCTGCCTTTCACTAGCATTTTAAAAAACCCAGTACATGCATGTCTTGAGCTTAAAATGTGCCAAAGCTGTAGGGAGTGATTCCAGCTTCATGGCAGTGTTACTACACTGCATAGTTTTAATGGGACAATTTTAAACAAATGCATCCAGTCAGTGATATTGTGAAATAGAAAGCTAATCCCTCCTTTATCTGCAAAGTATTGGTGCAGGGAAGTGGAAGTCTATATTTAGACTAAGCTCAGCATCTCCCTTTTTTAATTTCATGATTAGGGGACTTGCTTGGCTTGAGCTCATCATTGGAGAGGTTATCTGGCAGTGTGTTAAAATGTGATGTTTGGTTACTGAACTTCAGCATCTGCCAAAAAAAGAAAAAGGCTTTATTACACAACTAACCCTCTTGTTCTGACCTCTAGGAGAAAGGAGGCAGTTTCCCAAACCAACAAGAATAGTACAGTATTCTTCTGGAACAGGAAATGCCATTAAAATTGCTTTGTAGTAATGCTGGAATTATCAAAATTGCTTCTTCCCAACTGAATCCAATTATGCCGCGTTTACGCTGTGCTGCCTCTTGTTCCGCCCTGTCTTGTTCACTGAACTGGGGCAGTCCAGATGCTTATGGGGTTGCATTCAGCCCCCCAGTACAGTGTTTGGAGTACTATGGTGTTACTAAATTTGGGACTAAGCCCGAGAGAGACTTGAACATCTGCATTTAATCCAGAGTGGTCCTCTTATTTATATCAATGTAAGTTGACAAACCGGGTTAACAAATTGGCAAAAGATGGGTGACCTGGTCCTACTATAAAGCAGTATTTGGGTATAGTTTATGCGTTGAATAAGTCATGGGTTCACTGGCTGACAACAGGTAAAACTTGTAACACTAAAGCAAAGTGTTCTGTTGGGGGAGGTAATGAATACAGCATACATTCAGGCAGATTAAATTAAACCTTGTGCAAATGTGACTACACTGGAGATAAAAATGCTGACAGGCTGGTGGTCACATTATTCAGAGAAGCAGCTTCTCCACTGTCCTGCCTGCTAAAGGAAGGGGGAGGGTAAACCGCCTGGCTGACGCTGGGAGCTACAGAAGAGCTAATGTCAGTGCCCTGGAAGAGTAGGCGATGTCCCCTCCAGATGTTGGACAACCTTTCCCATCAGTCCCAGCCAGCATGGCCAAGAAGCAGGGATGGTGGGAGTTTTAGCCGATCAATACCTAGATGGCACCATGTGGGCGATCCCTGGTGTGCTGTCATAATCTCCATTACCAGCAGGTCAACAGTAACAGAAGCTAATGGAATGACACATTCCCACCCCGACCTCAACATCACTTACCAGACATTTTATGCAGTGCTTGCTCTCATATCGGCTGTGCAGGGAAGAAGGCACCCATCGGAGGGCAGAGAAAGCTGCGATGTCATAATGATGTCTCCGTACACAGGGGACAAATGGCTTTCCCATTCAGGTCAAATCACACCATCTAGGAAAAGAAAGCAACATTTTCTCCCATCACTTTCCAAAGTCCTAGCGGTCAGCATGTAAGCATGTGTATGTCAGAGGCTTTGTAGGAGTGCAGTAGTTCTTAGTAGTAGCTCCGAAACTAAGAAGATGCAGAGCAACACTCTTAAATATGGAGAGCAGATAATGCAAATGTTACAAGAGCTGGAAAAATTAAAATAGGCCAATCTGCAGGGATTTTATTAAATCATTTAATAATTTGGTGATGGCTGATAATTGAAAGATACCCTAGAATAGCACTTATATTTAAAGAAATAAAAGGAACATGGGTTAACCATATAGTGGTTAGTAAAACTACATTAGTAAGCGAGTCAACGGCTTAGATAAATTAAAAAACCAATAATAGATGCTTTTATATGAAAAAAGTAGCAGACAACACTTAAAGCATAACAGGTTTAGCATTATACCAATTTCATTTGCATATGCAATACCCTGCTTCACATATTACCCAGGAACTCAGGTTTCCTGTTTTGAAATAATCCATTTAACATGCAGAAGCCCTAAAAAAAAAATCAGGTTAGATACAGAATAAATATTACCCCCATTAGCTCAGTGGTAAATGACTTCCAAACTGTGTCTTAAGTATTTTCACACAATTAAATGTGGTGTAAACTGTATGTTCTTAAACTAAGCACTAGAACTTGTAGATACCTTATAGGAAGAAAGGAACAGAGGCTATTACATCAGAGGCTAATGTAGAAATTCTCATGTTTTCACATGCGCCCCCAAAATCACAGGTGAGTCAAGGTTTTTTAAAAAAAATCCAGGAGGAAATTGTTTTTCCAACAACTATGAACTATTTTTAAAATGGGTTATTTTAGTTTTCCATGATTTCGTAAAGAAAATTGTGGCATTCTTTGCATACCCCCTTAATGAAGCACTTGTTCCTCGCAATGACTTGGTGGTTTCCTGCTATAAACATTTCTAAGTATGCAAGGTTGAATACAGCTCATTGAAATTAAGTGAGTAACTGGACAAATGACTCATTGCTTCGCCCTTCAACTTTGCGATGTTAACACAAAAAGCAAGGAATATGTACTTTCATGTATTTTTTTGCAATCAACAGCCACCAGCTTTTAAGAAGAGGTGTACACAAAGCTCTTTTTCCTGCTTTGTTATAGTATTTCAGATGAATAGCAGTTTGTCTCTAAGGCCACTCTCACCAAAAAGCCCACCCTTCCACTTCCAATGGGCAGCCGCCGACACCAGTAAACGCTTATAAACATGTTCAGCCCAACACTGTTTAGAGATGGTTGTAATTAGGTGGTAAAGAAATTGTTGAAATGAATAAAACATGCTTACTAGCCCTGTCAGATCTTTGCAGTCCACACAGGAGAAGTTGGGAGTGGAGCAGAGGTTAGGAGCTCCTCCGCCCCATTTTAGCATGAATACAGCTTTGGTTGTTGGGGACTCAGCACCTAGCATTCCCTGCCCCACTCCATGTCATTGGCTGCTATTGGGGGACGGGCACAGAAGTGCTGAGTGCATCTACCTCCTATCACCCATCTGCTTCAGTGAGGTGGTAGCAGCAGATGTAGGTGCAGAAAATGTAAGACTGGAGAGGTGCAGGAGCATCTGCACATTTAAGATACTGCACAGCTTTATCCTTGAGCCCCCAGGAAAAAAAACTTTCAATCTCATTTACTTTGGGATAAATGACATGTTTTCTCTAGCTTGTGCCCAAAGTGCAGTGGCACCTCGGGTTACAGACGCTTCAGGTTACAGACGCTTCAGGTTACAGACTCCGCTAACCCAGAAATAGTACCTTGAGTTAAGAACTTTGCTTCAGGATGAGAACAGAATCGTGTGGCGGCGGTGAAGCAGCAGCGGGAGGCCCCATTAGCTAAAGTGGTACCTCAGCTTAAGAACAGTTTCAGGTTAAGAACGGACCTCCAGAACAAATTAAGTTCTTAACCCGATGTACCACTGTACTATCAAAAACGATATATGGGATCTAAACTGAACAGCATGCTTGAGTCCTGATGTTAACCTAACTTTTCCTA